CAACTCGAATTTGTTTAGCTTTTAATAAGTGAGTATATTTTAATTTAGAATATTTTATTGCATAACATCACAGTATTGCCTTAATATAATTTATTTATTTTATAATTGTCGTTAAGCTTTTAATTAATTCTAAATTTATGATTGTTAATATATATATAACCATCACGACCAAACCAAAAAAGTAATATAATCATGAACAAAGAGAAAAATTTAATCTGTACATGTTTTTTTTTTTTTACCTTTTTTTTAATTTTTTTTGTAATTACTCTCAATTTTATGATCCACGTCTTTTTCAATATTTATATAAAATGAAATTATCATTTTTATTTATTTTTAAATGTTAATTAATAATCAACTTTTTTTTTTATCAATATTAGTTCGGCTGTTACTACTAAAATATTTTTCTATCAATTATACTGGTTTTAATTTAAAAAAATAAAAATGCATGTAATTATATTTCCTATCAATTGAATGAATGTTGATAAACTATTTTTAATTTATATTTTATTTGTAGTTATAAATGCTTATACACAATACTTGTTAGTTTTTAAACAAATTTTCACTACACATATTAATGGAAAACATCTAAATTAGAAGTACATTGTAAAGTTGAAATATTATTTAAAAGGTTTTGGGAAAAAATGCTTTAATAAAATTAATAATATTTTATAAGAGATTTTATTACTATTTGTTTTAGACAAGAGTTTTGATGTTCTTAATATCTCATGGCTAATATTTATGTGATACTCGTCTGGACTAAAAAAATTATTACATTTATATGTTTAGAAAATATTGAATTGAATATTAATCACTAATTATTAGAAAATACTTACATTTTTCTTAAATCTTAATTTTTTTTAAAATCGCCGCTGAAGAATTCGAAGTCCCTCCTCAAACCAGCTCTATTATCACCAATGGTAACTATTTTATTGGATAAATCCATTTTTTTTCTTTTTTGATTTGTCAGTGATGTTCATGTTGCAAGTTTAAGGTTTTTCAGCGTTTTTTTTTTTTTTTTTTTTTTTTTTTTTTGTGATTTGGTATTTGTGTTTTGGTTGTGTGGCGATGGATACTGAATAAATGGTGTGTGCCTTTCGCTAATATCTCATGCTTTTCCTTTCTGGCCTTTAGGGGATTAAAAATGCTTAGCTACACCCATACCTGTTTCTGGGTAAAAGAACTTTTCCGTTAATTTTATTAGTGTCGCGAATATGAAATAAGGTTTAAATAGGAGAACATTTATATAATTATCAGTGAAAACAACAAATGAAAGTGTTGAACCAAACCCCCCTTGTGCTTTGTTATGTGGATTAGAATAAGTTGAATCAAGCGATCTTTAGGTTGTTTATTATATTCTCTAGTTAATTTGCTGGTAACGATTGTCAAAATTCACATGATTTGTGGTAGCATCATAGTGATGGGATATCTGAGCACTGCATCCTCAACTCAGCTGTGTTACCCTCTTAGATCTTAAATTACAGTGTAAATGGGGGATCTTCCCCCTTCAAAAAGTGTAAAGTTCAAGTGGATTGAGATTTAATTGGGGCTGGTTGACAAATTAATTATTTGAACTGACATAGTGAGCTCATTATATGTTGTGACTTTGGCATTTGACGGCCCTAAAAGTGTAATACTTTCCACTAAGAAGGAAAAGGAATACGGGAAAGGTGAGCTAGTAAGGCACCGATACTAACATCGATCCAATGAATGCAAAACTAGAAAATTTAATATATTATTGTCTGTCATTAATTCAGTATGAAAGCCTATTTATTTTAGTAATATCCATCTTAGATTTGCTACATTCTTATTTATTGCTTTGTATACATGCAGATGATGTTGGCATAAATCCTAAAGAATGCAGTAAGTTTCTTTTTCATCATTCATGTTCCAATCCCAAAACTAAAAAGACGCGAGTTTGCATCACAATTTTGAAGGTCATGACCATCATTTACTTGGTTGATGCAGGTGAACGCCAAGGATTGTGATACTGTTGTAGCAGGAATACAATTTGGTTTAATGGGGTGTCTGATTACTGTCTCTACTTTTGCTGCTGAGTTTAATGCAATGAGAGAAAGTAATCATCCTTGGAGAGCATACGCATATGCTATTATTACAGTTTGTGTCATTCGCTTTAGGAATCTTAATATACTGCATACCTGTTTGGACAAAAGGTTTTGACATTAACACACAGAAAATAGACAAGGCAAAATCTTGTTTTGGTACTTAATGTGGTTGAACCTTAGAGGTTTCATGACAATCTCCTAATCTTGAAGATAATGAATTTTCTTACAGCGAAGGAGTTAACAATTCAGAGAAATAATGCATTTACTACTCTAAAAGGAGATTGACCTGTCAATGTTGAGATTGGTTGTAAAAGCGAAGTTTTAAGCTGATGGATCCTTGATAAATATTTATGAGCTCACAAAGTTCTTATTAATATAGATGTAATGTTCCGAGGTATAAAAAATGATCACCGGATGCTGGTTTTACTTTTGTATTTACACTGTTATTGGCTTGGGAGTTCAAGGTCGCGCACAGTTCCTAAAAACTTTCACCAAAGTCACAATGGAAAGTAAACGTGCGGATATTATTTTGAGCACGAATAAATCCATATATTAATTCTTAAAATTGTGAGTGTTAATTATTTTGGTTTCATACTTTTGAAAATTCTCATCATCACCAATAAAAAAAATTGTTAACTATTTAACTTTAGCAAATTTAACAACTTGTCGAGGTTAAGCTAAATTTTATACTAAATTTAATTTATTTAAATATTTTAAAATTTAAATTTAATTAATTATTTATTATGAACTTTTTATTAAATTTAATTTTTTTTAAATTTATTTTAATTTATTAATCTTTTTAATGACTTATTTTATATTAAAATCTTTAATAATCCATTACACCTTCAAACAGTCAAATCATCTAAAAAAGTATATATCTATAAAAACTATAAACTTATATTAAAATAAGTTATAAAAAATAGTTTAATACTTTGAATATTTGTAAAAAAGTTACATATTTTTATTTTTAAACTACATATTTGATTTAAATAAGTAAATACTAAACATACAACAAACATTATTAAATGAACATCAATCTATAAATTATTAAGCAAATCTAATAGCATAAAATTTTATACCTTAATTCAACAAACATAATACAACTAAATATATTTTAGACATAAAATTAGTAAATACATCAAATAAAAATTTAAAATACACAAATAAAATATTTTTTTCAAAATAAAGTATGAAAATATTAATAAAAAAGATGCATCAAACAACATTAATGCAAAAATTTTTAGCAAGAGAGTATGTAAGAAGGATACTCTTAATCTCAATAAAAAAAAGATTAATATTTCTAATTTAATATTTTTTTTTAAAAAAATAAATTTATTTAATATAACATTATAATTTTTAAATAAAATTATTTAATATATTATTATAAATGTTATAAGTATTAAATTATATCATTCTATTATACTTTTTCTTTAAATCTGCCAGTTAAGTTAGGTTAAATTTTAGAAAAGTTAGATTATAAGCTTTTATCATAAAATGTTAAATATTTGTACATTAAAGTTACAGACTTTGTAATTGATAAGATATTCCTACGATAAACTTTTACAATTTTTTACAATAATAAGAAAAGATTAAAAGTGTGAGAATAAATCAATTACATAGCATTACATTATCACGTTAATATTATTATATATCAATACACAGGTTAAAGACTATATATATATATATATAATCATCTTAAAAAATTAGACTAAATAGAAAAATCTAATATGTACATGTATTTTTTATTTTTTTTGGTAATTGCTCTCAATTTTATGATCCATTTTTTTTAATATCTATGTCTAAATAAAATTAGTGTTTTCTATTTTTTTATTTAATTATTAATCAAGGTTTTTTTATCAATATTATACATAATGATAAATCAATATTCGTTGTTACCACTAAGAAGTTTTTCTATCAATTATACTAGTTTTAATTAAAAAATTAAATAAAAATGCATGTAATTATATCTTTCTATCAATTAATTAATGTTGATAAGCTATTTTAATTTGTTTTATTTGTAGTAATAAATGCCTATACACAATACTTGTTAGTTTTTAAACAAATTTTCAGTACATATATTAATTGAAAACATCTAAATTAAAAGTAAAATGTATAGTTGAAATTTTATTTAAAAAGGTCTTCTGAAAAAAATGCTTTAATAAAATTAATAATATTACATAAAATGATTTCATTACTATTTATTTTAGACAGAGTTGCAAAAAAAAAAAAAAAGTTTTAAAAGAGAAGGAAGGAGAAGAAAAATTTTAAATTTTAAATAAATATATTTAAAATTAATATTTTTTAAAATTAAAAATATAAATTGATATATTAATCTAAATTTAATATATTAATCATATATTTATCATTATAAATTATATGTAATTCTTTTAATGTAAAATTTAAAAATATACTCTTCCTTTCTTTCACTTTAAATCCCTTTCCCAAACATACTTATAATGTTTTATATCTAACATTTAAATGTTACTCGTCTGGACTAACAAAATAATCGCATTTATATTTTTAAAAAATATTGAACTAAATATTAATCATTAATTATTAGAAAATACTGATAAATTTAAAAAAACAGGAGTAACAAAAAAAATCTACACAAGTTAATTGAAATAAAAGAAAATGAACTATATTTTCTTAACATAGTTATTAAAAATATCGTTGTTCATGTATAAGATTTCATAGAATTTTGATAGAATGCAACAACTTTTCATAAAATACATTTATATCATAATAACGTATAAAAAACAAATATATCATTAAAAGCATAAATTAGATAGTAATGAATATTCTAATTTAAACATAATTTTTAAATTTTAGTCCTTAAAAATATGTGTTAATTTTTTTTTGAAGAATTATCACATAATAATTTCATTTGACTCAATTTAAAGCCATCACCCATAACAGTCTGTCGTTTGAACATAAACGACAATTGCGTCAGAACTCCGCTGAGGAGTATAATCTGGGACAGGAGTGAGGACAACCTTGTTGGGAGAGAAGAAGTTGGAAAATGGCGGGTGGTGGAAAGGTGTCGTTCAAAGTGACACTCACCTCCGATCCGAAGTTACCCTTCAAAGTGTATTTCTCTTAAATCTCAATTTATTTTTATTCTCTAATCTCTTTTTATCCCTAATCTCAATTTTCTTAATTTCTTTCAGATTTAGCGTTCCAGAGGCTGCACCTTTTACGGCCGTTCTCAAATTCGCCGCCGAAGAATTCAAAGTCCCTCCGCAAACCAGCGCTATTATCACCAACGGTAACTGTTTCATCGGATAGATCCATTTTTCTTTTTTGATTTGTCAGTGATGTGCATGTTGCAAGTTTTAGGATATTCAGCTTTTTTTTGTTGTGATTTGGGAATCTGGTTTTGGTTGTGTGGTGGTGGATACTGAATAAATGGTGTATGCCTTTCGCTAATATCCCATGCTTTTCCTTTCTGGCCTTTGGGGGATTAAAATTGCCTAGCTACACCCATACCTGTTTTTGGGTATTCTTTTTTTTTTTGTTAATTATATTAGTGTCATGTATGTGAAATAAGGTTTAAATAGGAGAACATTTTTATAATTATCAGTGAAAACAACAAATGGAAGTGTTGAACCAAACTCCCCCTTGAGTATTAGTTATCTGTGCTCATCCCTTGTGTTAAGCCATGGATGAACAGTTATCTGTGTTCATCCCCGAAAATGGCAGTTTGTGTTGATTTGGTTTCTGATTTGGTTTCATAAAGTTTGTACATATATAATTTAGTATTCAAATCTGTTAACTGCTGGACAATTTAGTCCTTGAATCTATCAATTTCGTGAGATTTTGCAAAATTGGCCAACTGATTTGTCTTAAAATTGACAAATTCGGGGACAAAATTGTATACAATATACTTGCAAACTTTTAGGTACCAAATCAACAAAGTTACGGAAGGAATTGAGGGAATGGCCGGTTTTATACCATTCTGGGTTTTGAATGCACCTGAAAACAACACGATTATTAGATAAGTCAAAACTCTGTGCATCTAATCTCTGAAATGTTTGGCCCATTCATACTCTTGTATTCTTCTCTCTTAATTTAGGGGTTGGCTCCTTTACAGGATAAGTAGTGTCTGGCTTGCTCCTTTAGCACAGTTTTGAAGTTTTTTCTTTTTCTTTGTTTTTGACATTTGTTACAGTCATTTAATGCATATTTGTAAACTAAGATATTCTTTGAAATGTGCAATCCTCATAATATTCTAAATTTTGTTGTTGGAATTTAGTTGGTAACACCTTCTTTCTGCTGTGTTATGTGGATTAGAATAAGTTGAATCAAGTGGTCTTTAGGTTGTTTATTATATTCTCTAGTTAATTTGCTGGTAACGATTGTCAAAATTCACATGATTTGTGGTAGCATCATAGTGATGGGATATCTGAGCACTGCATCTTCAACTCAGCTGTGTTACCCTCTTAGATCTTAAATTACAGTGTAAATGGGGGATCTACCCCCTTCAAAAAGTGTAAAGTTCAAGTGGATTGAGATTTTATTGGGGCTGGTTGACAAATTAATTATTTGAACTGACATAGTGAGCTCATTATATGTTGTGACTTTGGCATTGGAAGGCCCTAAAATGGCAATACTTGCCATTAAGAAGGAAAAGGAATATGGGAAAGGTAAGCTAGTAAGGCACCGGTACTAACATCGATCCAATGAATGCAAAACTAGAAAATTTAAGAGTATTTTCATTATGTATATTATTGTCTGTCATTAATTCAGTATGAAAGCCTATTTGTGTTAGTAATATCCATCTTAGATTTGCTACATTCATATTTATTTCTTTGTATACATGCAGATGGTGTTGGCATAAATCCCCAGCAGAGTGCAGGTATGGCAATGCTTTATCATCTGTTTCTTTAACTTACCACTGTGTTTCAAGAATCATCATATTTTCATCTTCAAATATGATCTACCATCACAATTTTCTCCTTAATATCTTTAAAAATTATTAGACAAGGCAAAAATAAAAGTGTTACCCAAACATTTGGAATGTTATTCTGATTAAACTTAATGATATACTTGAAATGGTTGTGTTAAGATTGCTTGATTCGCATGGTTTGGAGTTGCAACCATGGACTTATGACATTGAATAATATTATATAATAGAGGTTGATGATAGTTGTTATCTTTCATTTAAAAAGCTGTATATTTCATTTCTTCAGGTAATGTCTTCCTTAAGCATGGTTCAGAATTGCGCCTGATTCCGCGTGATAGGGTTGGTGCTTCTTAGATGATATGGGGCGTCTGAGTGAAATATTCACTCATTTTACTGTATGTGGACTCTTGTAGGTCATAGTAATTAGTAAACAATAAATACCATTGTTACTGATTTCATACAATTGAAATCAACGGTGTCCTTAACCGATAAGTATTTTTCAATTATATAAATTTTTGAAATATGGACTTAACTGCTATAATTCGTCAGCTTTAAATTTAAGGTAGCTCATTCCGTTGAATACTTCCAAGCGCCACCCATCTTCTGAAGAAAACATAGCAAAACTGTGGTGGAATTTGAGATAAATCAGATCTGTTATATGTACGATCTTATCGGTTGTTGAATCCCCAGGCAGTGCCTATTACTAGTTCATTGTTTGGCATTTTAGAGATTGGCTTTCATAAATAAGGAATTTGAGGAAAGCCTGTTACTAGATTTAAGGCTATTGATTAGGGGGCCCGCAACGCAAATTCATGGGAAAGTAGAGTTTTTAGTCAAGACAAAATCAACCTGCACACAAAAATGGTATGCATAATAATAGGAACCCGATTTATAATGAGCTTCATTTTGACTTCTCAGAGGGAAGGTTTTGCCACTAATCCAGAGTGAGACTTGTAAAACAGGAGGAAAAAAATACTATGATTCTAAAATTAGTGTATTTTTTGGCATGAAGAAAAAATTACTTTCATAATGTGACATCTCTAGATATATACAGGGGGTTTGGGTCCCCATATCTTATGATTGCTAATAGTGAAGTCTATTTTTCCCATTATTTTATTATGTGCTTTTTGTCCATAAAAAATACAATGCTCAAGTTAGGAACAAAATTAGGAGTATTTTGATACTAAAAAAAATATTTAATGATATGACGTTTCCAGGTATTGGTATTTAGGGTTCATAATTGCTACTAACCAAACAGCTCTATTAGCTCATGTACATGTGATTTTGTTATGAAATTTTGTTCTAATTTAACTAAGTTAGATTCATCACATCTTTTTTTCTTTTGGTCGTAACATTCATCTTATGTTTGATCAAGGAATTTTATGTGCAAACACTTAAAAAGATAAAGGATTAATAAGTTGGGTCATGACCCAATTTTTGAGGGAGCTTAAATGGGCGAGATACAAGTTAAAAGGTGGTTTGGAAAGAAAATACTCCTATGTGAAATAAAAATCTGACCTCACTTGCATGAAAAAAGTTTTGTATGGATAATTTAAATCTATTTTATTATGTCACCTGTATAAATTTTATAAATTATAAAAAAATTGACACATATGAAAATATAAGTTATAAAATTACACTATGTCAAACTACCTAATAATTATTTTAAGTGACACTTTACTTAAATAAAAGTAACGATAAAAATAATATTTTATTAATTACAATGCAAAGATAACTATGGTCATGAAAAAATATTTTCTTAAGTACAATGTGAAGATAACTATGGTCTAATTTGAATTATCTTCTAAGTTGTGGAGGACTTTAATGAAATAAGTATTTTATTAATAATTAACAAAAAATAAATTTATAAATTTATATATATTAAAAAAATAATTGAAACACATAAGTTAATTTATGTAAAAAAATGTATCAAAGCAAACTCTATAAATGTTCCCATGACGCAAGTACGTAGATATTAGTACAGTGCATGTGTGAAAATTAGGGTGCAACAAATTATTGAATTTAACGAACTTCAACCAAGTTCTTTCATGCTACTTTTTTAAAAAATAAACAGTTACAATAAAATATCGTATCTTGGCTTTCTAAAAAATTAAAAACCCTTAAAACAAATACACTCTAGATAAACAAGGTGGAGAAAGATGTCCAACAACACTTGACTTTACGTATTTGGCAACTATTCATGTTGTCATGTCAAGTTTAGCTGTACCTATGTTAGTGGAAGTAAATAGCATAATGAATGGACTAAGTGTAACATTATTATTATATAATTTTAATTTTTTTTTAAAATATACTTAATAATTTGTGGAAGATAATAATTTTACACAACAGTTTATTTATGATATGAAAATTAATAATTCACACACCTTGTAATATTTGTATAGTATTTGTAAATATAATTGACTAAAAAATAAAATTTAATTAAACTTTTTTTGAAACAATTTAATATCAACCTCTGTATATAAATAAGAATCTATTATCTAAAAATAATTTAATAAAATTACTCTATGTATAATTCGTTATGTATATGTTTTTTTTATTAAAATTGATTAAAATCATATATAAATTACATTATTTTTTATTGTAATAATTTTTTTTTATCAACATTTTTATCAATTATAGTCTATACTTTGAAAATTAAAATTGATACATATTTTTTCTTATTATTTTATATAAATTTTTAAATCTTTTACAAATATCTATTTTTAAATTTATAAAAATTATCTTAATTCTTATTTTATTTTTTAAAATTAAAATTTATTTTAAAAAGTTTTAATTATTTAAATTTATAGTTATTAATATTTAATTAAAATTATCTTTATATTGTTTAAAATAAATTATTATATAATTATTTATAAAAATATAAAATTTTATTTTCAAATAGTACACCCTTACAGAAATTGTTCCATGCATCAAGTGAAACACAGGTGGATAGAAATAATGTGACGATGTTATAATTGAAGGGCACTTCCGCAAGTCTCGCCGGAGAGATTACGGTTTCGGCCCACATCAGCAGAACTGATCAACTCCCCGACAGTTACCATTAACCTCGTTCATTGTTTTCACACGGTTTTTAGTTTTCTTTATACCATTATTTATTTGGAACAAAATATGCTTTCAAATATAAAAATCAGTTGAAATGTAATAATAAATATTAGTTTTTCTTATTATTTATCTGTTTTGGTCTCTTGATTTTTAAATTGCTGTGGCTTTAATGGTTTTTTTTGTTAATTGCAAGTATTTTTGGCGTTTACACATCTTTAATTACAGCTTTAAATTCACAGGTAAGTTAAGCGTTTCTTAAGTAAAGAGGAAAAAAAAGAACAATATAATTTTTTTATTTTGTTTTCTATTTAGTTTAATTAATAAAATTTAATAAATTCATCTCAGTTTTTAATATAGTTTTTATCATATAAACGTCTAAATTCAAAAGAAACAAAATATAATAATAAAATATATTTAAATTATTATATTGATATATATCAAATATAAATTAAAAAAATTATTTTATTCTTGTTCACCTCGAAAAGTTAAAAACAAAAAAAGTACATTGGTGAGCGTGATTGAACCGAACAGTCAGAAAGTACAAAACTTTATTAGCGATTAATTTGGGACTCATAAGGACTAATATTAACGATTTTTTTGTAAAGAGTGAGATGAGTTATTTATCGACTATAGTAATCATTATTAGGTCTAAATGTTTTTTTTATTTTAATCTTTTAAAAAATACTTTTAGTTTTATTAGCATGATATGACAAAAAAAATTTAATTCATGATAACAACTAATTATATTATTATTAAAGATAAATATCAAATTTTAAAAAATAAAATAAAGCTGTTTAAAAAAAATGAAAATTAAAACATTACAAAAATATTAAAACTAAAATTATATTTAATTTTAATTATTTTGGGAGGGCTCGCTCTTGCTTAATTGGTGTCATCTACCTGAGAGCGAAAAATGGGACTGTCAGGAATCTTGCAGTTTCCTTGTTCGTCAAATTTACTCATTCAACAAATATTCCTTTTAAAATGAAACACAAACCGCACCACAGTGCATGCTTCACATTTATGAATACAAAAATAAAATAAAATGTAATGAAAAGATAAATATCAGATACGTTATTTTTTGTCGTTTATTTTATTCAATCGTGGTTTTCCATGGCTCTCCTTGAACTACTTTACTACACGTACAGTGCAGTGTGCGAGAGAGTGAAGCCATGAAATCGAAGGGTCATGTCCTCAACGGAAACGGAAACGGCAACGCAAGCGAGAGCAGCAGCAGCAGCACCTCGCCGAGCCCGCCACGGTCACCGCGCCGTCACTCTGGCATTTCTACTCGCCGGAGGCGGCTCCGCCCCAAGGGATTCGGCGTCATTGCTCGCCGGAATCTTCGTTACTTCTTCCTGCTGCCACTCGTGTACGTCTCTGCTTTACTCGTGTGTGTGGGCCTCTTCTCTGCCCCTCCTCTTCCCCCTGGCTCTCGCTACCGCAGCCACGAGCTTTTTCACATGCTTTGGCCTGATATTCATTTTGATAATTCCTCTTCCATTCAGGTTATTTTTCTTTCTTTCATCTTCATCCCTCCAAATCCAAGAAAATACGCGGAGTATACTGTTTCTTGTTTAGCATTTTCTCTTCAAATGTTCGTTTTTTGCATAAATCTATGACACATTGATGCTATTTAAAAAAAATAAATTGAGATACGGTGAAAATATATTAAGCAGAATATATATTTTTTTTATAAATGACTTGTCAATTATTAATTTACTTTTATTGATTTCTTTATTTTTTGAATATATCTAATATATATATTAATTTGGTATCATCATTGTATTATTATTGTTTTTTTAATATATTGAAAATTTTATTTAAAAATTAAAGTAATAATATCAATTTCTTTATTATTAAAGAATAAATTGCATATTAAAAGATTTAAAAATAATGCAATTAAGCTCAGATATGAAGGCGTATGATATGCAAATCAAGTATTGATACGGGTGCATTGCTAATTTTGAAGTAGCAGCTTAAATCTTACGTTCATGATAGGGGCTGCATGAAATTTTGCATCATCTTCTCTTCACTCTTCACGCTTCTATTCTTTAATTAATTCAATTATTTTAATTGTTAACCACTGATGCTATTGTTATGATTTGTTTATTGTTTGCAGTTATCTTCTGTGTGGAAGTACAAAAGGAAGTTGAAAGAGCAGAAGCCTTGTCTGAATTTTACTGCGGTGCAACATGAGCGTTTTGGTATGCCTTCAGATAACATGATATATAGTATGATATTTCATTTGGGGTGGATTTTGTTAACCATTCCATCATCCATTTCATGTGTCTTGCTGTAAATTGTAAGGTTTGTTTGAACTAATTTCTTGTTAGGTCATGTATCTATTCTTGGACAACTTTATGCTGCTTATGTGAAATTTGGGAAAACTAAACTATACATGACGTAGGAATTTAAACTATTGATTCTATTAATTTCAGTGACCCCTGGCCATAGTGGTTTTTTAGTTGTGGAGGTTAATGGCGGTCTTAACCAGCAACGCTCTGCGGTATGATGAATTTTTTTCTTTTCAATATTTTCAGTAGTTTTCTTTCTTTTCTTTTTTGTTTTTTATAAAAGACAATGTTACTTTTCCACCATTGTGCTTAAATTTTCCTTCTTCAGATTTGCAATGCTGTAGCTGTGGCTGGACTCTTGAATGCTATACTAGTGATACCTCACTTTGAATACCACAATGTTTGGAAAGATTCAAGGTCAGAAGTTTACTTTTTCTCTCTAAATATGATATAATGAGCATTATGATGCTTCTTATGCTTATCTTATTCCTGATTTTATGTCTGAAATCTCTAATATTTTTTAAAATAATATTATTTGTCTCGCAGTGAATTTGGGGATATATATGATGAAAACTATTTTATATCCACACTTGAAGGTTATGTGAAGGTGGTTAAAGAAGTGCCTAAGGTACTAATGGAGAGGTATAATTACAATATTAGTAATATAACAAATATCAGAGTTCAAGCTTGGGCTCCGGTCAGTTATTATCTGGGAGATGTTTATCCTGTCTTGCAAAAGGAAGGGTAGGTATACTATCGATTTTTCTTCTTTTGGCATTCATCCAATCATCCTTTTATATTCTTTGGAATGAAAAAATTGTTGAAATTTCAGAGTTCATTTCTTTTCCCATAAAAATTGAATTCCATCTCCAAATTGAGCTGTTAATCAAAATTGAATTTAAACAGACAATTTGATAAAAATAAGCAATTTTATTTTCTGCTTTCCTAACCTTATGCAGGGTTATTCGTATAGCACCATTTGCCAACCGTTTGGCAATGAATGTCCCTCCTCATATTCAATTTCTAAGATGTCTTACTAATTTTAAGTCTTTGAGGTTCTCTTCTTCAATTTCAACACTAGCTAAAAAATTGGTTGACCGGATGATTGATAAGAGCTCAAGGACAAATGGGAAGTATGTTGCTGTGCATCTTCGCTTTGAGGAGGTATCACGTTGAAGCTAGCAAGTAATTCGTGTTGATACATATAGAAGTTTGCTAACTAACATCTTTAAGAAATAAAAATTATAAACCATTGATGAAAATATCTTGAAAATTTTAAAATCATTTAATATTTTCATCTTTAAGTAATTAGAATAAGCAATATGTTGTTTTCCCGTTGGATGAGTAATAAAATTTTATAAGTATTTAATACTTATCTCGTAATGATTAAATAAATCTTCTCAACGTACAGGACATGGTGGCATTTTCCTGTTGTGTATATGATGGAGGCGAGGCAGAAAAGTTGGAAATGAATTCAGTTCGAGAAAAAGGGTGGAGAGGAAAATTTAAACGGAAAGATCGCATCATTGTTCCTAATATCAATCGAGTTGACGGAAAATGCCCATTAACTCCTCTAGAGGTATTATTAACTATTAACACTTCTTAGATCTTAAATTATGGATATTCCTTAATTTTAAATTTGCCAGTTTTATGCACTAAACTGTTGTTATTCTAAATGAACTTTCATAGTTATTTCCTTATAGTTGGGGGGGAGGGGGGTTGTTGATTGTCATGGAACAGTGGAACGATGAGAGAAAACCAACTATGTGTGCAAATTTAAGATTTTCAGAAAGCTCGTGTTACATGGAAGAGGCTCATGATTACTGCATTGTTTTCCTTCAATATGTAGGTTGGGATGGTGCTACGTGGCATGGGATTTGATAACAAAACATCAATATATTTGGCTTCTGGGAAAATATATCACGAAGAGAGATATTTGGCACCCTTAAAAATGATGTTTCCCAATCTGCATACTAAGGACTCTCTTGCAACATCAGATGAACTTGCTCCTTTTAAGGTAAAGATCCTTGCTATTTGATAATGATTACACTGCCTTACTGCCTTATTGGAGAGGCAACATGAACGCAAGTTTATAATGACCAAGGATGCAGTTGTCTTTATATTATGGTTTTTCATTTTCTCTTTTGAATTTTGATGATATCTTGTAAGTAAATTCTAAAACAATTTTATGGAGGTTAAGTTAAAAGTGAAAAGAGATTGATTATGCCCAATTTAATTTTAAGATAATTTTGTTGTCATTACTATGCTTTCGGGTAGGCTCTGATTCTCTTTATCATTCTTTTGTAGGGATATTCCTCCCAATTAGCAGCTTTGGACTACACGGTATGCTTGTTCAGTGAAGTTTTTGTGACAACTCAGGGTGGTAACTTCCCTCATTTTCTGATGGGCCATAGACGATTTTTCTATGATGGGCATGCTAAGACCATCAACCCAGATAAGCGCAAGCTTGTTGTTCTGTTGGAGGATGTAAATATTAGGTATAGTCCTTTTTTTCTCTCGCTGTTACTCATCCTCTTTTTACCCTCCTTCTAAACTACTTTAAACTAAAACATTTTGAACCTTTAATAGTGATATTTAATTTTTTCCCTCCACGTATCATTCACGTTTTTCCTGCATCCCAGCAACAGTTTTGCAGCTTATGCTTGCTTTCTTTTGTCTGATTTTGTTATGTCCTCTTCTCGTTGATTTGAATGGTTTGGATCATTCTGCCAACAATTTTGTTACTGGTTATTGCCTAACCATGTACACAATACACATCTTAATACTCGTCATATGTATTTCGTATATGGTGTAACTTTGAAGACACTAGATGATAGGAAAAATTTGCACATTGATTTTGCAGTTGGGGAGCTTTCAAGGAGGAGATGCAAACTATGCTTAGTGAAAGTGACCGCAAAGGAATCATGGTACCCAGAGTTAGAAAAATTAACAGAAAAACTTCCGTCTACATGTACCCCTTACCGGAATGTAGCTGTCTACAGCAATCTCATACCACCCAAAATGTCTCAATCTAGACATTCCTGACAGTTACATCATTTATTCTCAACTTCTCATGCATCTGCTCTCGTCAGATTTAATTTATGTCCACGGCTTTGAATTTTCGACTTCCTGGCCTAAGGTTATGTGAAGCAATACATCATGCTCCTGACTGGGTTACGGTCGCAAGATGTGGGTAACTGGATATCGTAGCCTCCACTGCATGAAGATTTTTTAAATGCATACTCCATATTTTACGTAGCATGATAGTTTTAGCTTGCAATGCTTAGATGGGAATGGTACGATGCGAACGAGCAAGCATGGAGTTGTATTTTTATTTTCCTTTCAGAAGCTCTTTAAACTGACGAGTCTCTTTTCCATTATTTTCTTTCTTTTGTATATTTAAAACTGTAGAATAGAGCATTGATAAGTGTAAACTACTTTATGTCTGGTTTATAAAAAATTATTACCATTTTTTAAATATAAAAAATATAGATTTTTTTAATTGCATTAATTAACAAGTTTTTTATATTTTTTTATTGTAAGATCTTTGTTAATAAAATATTTAATTTTTATTTTAAAAAAATATATTTATTCATTTAAATATAAGATTCATTTAATCTCAATATTACAATTATTTTAAAATAAAATAAAAACTTATGATATATAAAATTATTTTTTATATATAATATTTAAAAATAGTATATGCTAAAATATATTTTTGAAAAAAATTAAAAAGTTTAAAAAATAAAAAATAGCTATTAATTTTTTAAGCTGTGTAAATATTTAATGTTAATAAATCTGACACTATATATATATATATCTTATTCATGCAAAGCGAAAAACGCACTCAAATTGAATTACTTTCCAAAAAAATGATATTTATAGTCTAAAATATAAAAAAAATATGTTTTTTTCCGTCAACACTATTTGAATGTGACGATATTCCTACATTTAAGAACGGGGTTTCGCCTAAATTTAAACGCACACACTTTTTTTTTTTAACTTGCTTATTTTGATTTCTAAATTCGTTTCTTCTTATTTCGTGAACGTGGATCACCAAACGAAGTGTAATACTGAGTAAAGGAATATAAATAACACGTACAATCTGAAGACTAGAGTAGTAATTTGTTCTACTAAAGACTAATTTTTGCAATGTTAGAGCAAGACCATTCTTCACAATTTTTCTAACAATTTTACAAATTAAAGTATCAAAGTAGTCGAAGCTGTCGTCCTCTGAGGCCTCAGCAATGGTTACAGTATTGTAATTCAGTGCGTGATGGGCAGTAATGAATGTAAACCAAATCCAGTTAGTTTTACGCTGTTGTGGACGCTTTCAAGCTATCAAACATGCCAAATCAGTCCATTCTCATATAATAAAACTTGGCCTTCACAATCATCTTTTTCTCCTAAATAACATGATCTCTGTCTATGTAAAGTGTTCCCATTTCGATGATGCACGAACCCTTTTCGACAAAATGCCTCACAGGAACATAGTTTCTTGGACCACGATGGTCTCTGCTCTCACCAATTCTGGGAGAGCCCACGAGGCCCTCGCACTCTACACCCACATGCTCAAATCCAAAACTCTGCAACCCAATCAGTTTCTTTACTCTGCGGTTCTCAAGGCTTGTGGTCTTGTGGGAGATGCTGAATTGGGCAAGTTGATTCACCGACATATAACTCAGGCTAAGTTAGAGTTTGACACTGTTCTGATGAATGCCCTCTTGGATATGTACGTCAAATGTGGGAGTCTGAAGGAGGCAAAACAAGTTTTCTATGAAATCCCGTGTAAAAATTCTACTTCTTGGAACACCCTTATACTTGGGCATGCTAAAAATGGTTTGGTGAATGATGCGCTGAATCTGTTTGATCTAATGCTGGAACCGGATCTTGTGTCTTGGAACAGCATCATTACTGGTCTTGCAGAAAATGCAAGTCCTCGTGCTTTACAATTTATTTCCATGATGCACATGAAGGGCTTTAAACTTGATGAATTTACATTCCCGTGTGCCCTCAAAGTTTGTGGTCTTCTTGGCGAGTTAACCATGGGGAGACAGATTCATTGTTGTGTTATCAAGTCAGGGTTCGAGTGCAGCCGTTATTGTATATCAGCATTGATTGATATGTATTCAAATTGCAAGCTATTGGATGAAGCGATGGAAATATTTGATCAATTGTTCTGTCACTCTTCTCTTGCTGAAAGCTTGGCACTTTGGAATTCTATGCTTTCTGGGTATGTTGCCAATGAAGATTATGCAAGGGCTCTCAGTCTGATTGCTCGTATGCATCATTCTGGCGCACATTTTGATTCCTATACCTTTAGTATTGCTTTGAAGGTCTGCATCTATTTCCATAACTTGAGATTGGCATCTCAAGTGCATGGATTGGTCACTGCTAGTGGCTATGAATTAGATTATGTAGTTGGAAGCATTCTTGTTGATCTATATGTGAAACAGGGCAATATTAGCATAGCATTAAGATTGTTTGATAGGTTGCCTGATAAAGATGTCGTAGCTTGGTCTAGTTTGATTGCTGGTTGTGCTAGATTTGGTTCGGGTGCATTAGCTTTTTCCCTCTTTATGGATATGGTTCATTTGAATCTTGAGATTGATAATTTTGTCCTTTCAATTGTTCTAAAAGTTTCTTCAAGTTTTGCATCTCTTCAAAGTGGTAAGCAAATTCATTCTGTCTGTCTTAAGAAAGGGTATGGATCAGAGAGAATTATTACAACTGCTCTTATCGATATGTATGCAAAATGTGGTGAGATTGAGGATGCCTTAGCTTTGTTTCATTGTCTCTCTGAAATAGATACCATGTGTTGGACAGGGATTATTGTGGGATGTGCACAAAATGGAAGAGCAGATGAGGCAATTAGTCTTTTGCATAAGATGATAGAATCTGATACAAAACCAAATGAAATCACCATTCTAGGTGTTCTTACAGCATGTAGACATGCTGGCTTAGTTGAGGAGGCATGGACTTTGTTTAAGTCCATTGAAACACAGCATGGATTGACACCATGCCCAGAGCATTACAATTGTATGGTTGATATACTTGCTCAAGCAGGACGTTTCAAAGAAGTAGGAAAATTGATTAACGACATGCCATTTAAGCCTGACAAAACCATATGGTGCTCCTTGCTTGGTGCCTGTGGAACTCACAGGAACCGACATCTTGCAAATATTGTTGCCAGGCATCTTCTTACCACCTCACCAGAAGATGCTTCTGTATATATAATGCTGTCAAATGTTTATGCGGCTCTTGGAATGTGGAATAATTTAAGCAAAGCAAGAGAAGCTTTAAAAAAAGTAGGCATGAAAGGAGCTGGAAAAAGCTGGATCCAGATCTCTAATTGAGATTGCTGGTTTTGTGAATGGCTCGGTTCAGCTAACTTAATTCCTCATGCATAAGACATTTCCAGACGAGTCACTGATTGTTCATGGTTATATGGAATTTCTTGACTGAAATCTGAACTGTGAAAGAGAATCTTTATGTTTGGGTAACCGTGTCAGTTCAATTGAAAGGTACAAGCACAGAAATGTTAAAATTTAAATGATATCTAGATGGAGGATATTACACCAAAGAAGATTAAGTACAAGGAATGCTGCAGGCAGTTCAATCCGATAAGCATTTATACTGGCTATTACCATGAGGTTTCACACATCCTACGTCTGCCTCACCGAAGGAAAAGGTAAAAACTAAAATGGTAAATACAATTTGCACTTTCAATAGTATTTATATGGTTATGCCACTTGTAGTTTTAACCATATTTAGTTTAATGAATCAATTTCAGTTTCATATTAACCTCTTCATAATTAACAATATACCACATACTAATTCAAATAAACAAATGTTCTTTGTGATAATCACTCTTTTAAGAACTCATATTCGGCTAAAATTTGGTGACAGTGTACCCTTACCTCTTAAATTGCAAATTCATCTTAAAAATTGCCTTAGCTCTAGTAGTTATATCAGTGCCATATGTTTGTACTCTTTAAATTTACTTAATCTTTCTGTAAACTGGTAATTTAATTAAACAGATTTTCCCTTTCTTTGTTGATGTTGTATTAATTGCTGTTTGCAGACGTCATCAGGGCTCATCTCGTCTTTTAGCGTGGTTGAGCCGCTTCACATTTTTGGCATGTGGTAAGATTGATTTATATTATTTGAGAAATTCCAGTAACAGTTTTTTTGTTTTTTTAAAGATATACTCTGTTATTGGTTAATAATCTAAAATGTCAATTAGTTTGTAAGCACGTCACCTTTTAAAGAGTGTTGAATTTTTAGAGAATGAACTAAATAATAAAGATTTTATGTTGCTAGTATTCATCGTTTTATTTTGCACGTTTAGTGGTAAAATTGCCATTGTTTTTTTTTTTTCTTTTTTCAGTGAATTATCTCAGTAAGTACTTTTAAGAGGGCTTGATGTATATAATAACATAATAATTGCCTACATTTTAATGCCAATTTTTGAGTTTTTAGGTTTTTATCGCTAAAGGTTTTATTTTTGGAGGGGGTGGGGGTGGGTGGGATTAAAGCTCAACCGAACAGTAAGTTGACTTTTGGCTTGGTGGAGTTGACCTATCCTGCATGAATCGCTCTGTAATTTGGAAATGTCACCATTGACTAATATCATCGCTTTCTTTTCTTTTCTTCTTTTTGTCTTTTCTCGTCTGTCCTATTTGCCTGAGTTTGATAACAGATTGAGACACCACTAAGCAACCCCGGTGACATGTTGGGGGTGGACAAGAACCTCTCAAATCTATCTCTACCACGCTTTTTATTATTTGATCAGAGAGAATTCTGACTATCTGGTCACAGGGAAACAATCATAAAAAACCTCGCTCTTTGTTTGATTTGCAACAATTTTCAAAACCATTACTACGGTCTTTGTACTTGTTGTCCGTCTATGTTTTGAATTTTTAATGGCATGCAACTATCTATTAGGCTTGGCCGTGATTGGAACTGTATCATGCACCCATTTTGGTCTTTCCAAAGCATACTAACGAGTCAACAATTCTGATTCATACACACTTATTAGTCTCACATTGAATTCAGTAATATCATATAAATTACGATAAAAATGTATTATTTATTGTGTGTCCACGCGTTAATAAAATGGTTAAGAATTTGATGTTTCTTAAATTCCCTCAAATTGAGATGATCTAGGATAAAGGGTGGAAGAGGAAGAGGTAAAGTGGTCCTAGCTAATAGCTATAAGCTATTAAGCCATGGCCAAACCATATGAGGCAGACTCAACATCAGGCACTAGGCAAACATGGGAACATGGGTGGGGGTCCCAATAGACAAGAAGAAATGGTGAACCCCACCTTCTTATTATGACTCCCTGTAAGCTACCTGCATAAGGCCGACTCATTGTTGTGAAACGTCTCCACCATGCATGCTAATCGCAGTGTCTTCCATGGAATGTAATTTTTAAAGTCTTCCATTCCATGGAATTTATTCTCATGCTACGTTTATTTCTCTCTCAATCATTGCACCCACTTTTGTCTCGCCACTCAAGCTTTATTCTGACTTCCTACAAGCTTTTCTTTTTGTTTCGATCTTAACGAGCATGGCTCGTCAAGTTATGATTCCTTCACACTTTCCAATAACTAGGAAACACTGCAAAAATTACCGCGAAACTCCCACGCCATATTGCTTTTTGCCCACTCTTTTCGCGCCACATTTAGATAAATAGCTAGTGATCACTATGCAGTGATGAGCTATCATCCTCAAGTACACATCTTTAGCTACAAGCCTTAGTAGCTTGTGTGTTAATATGGAAAATGTTTTTTGAACATCTATTTTTTTTATCCAGAATACGTGTCAATCCTAATATTTATCACAATCACGTTATTTAAACTTGAATTCAATAATCTTCTACTAATTAATTCTAATGTTCGATAGTCTTTAAATTTTTAAATTGCGACATTTTAAGTGTCTCTTTATTTTGCATGATGTATTTTTAAAATCTATATATATATAAAATAAACTTCTAGGCGATTACTTATAAAAGAAGAAAATTAAATAAAAATAATTTGTTTATAGTTAAAAATAAATTATAATTTTTAAATTTTTTAAAAAGTAAATGAAAATACTTTAAAGAAGAAATTCCATATATTTTATCACTGGATTTTTTGTATTCATATAAATACTTATTTAAATGTGTATACAAATTGAGCTATTATAAAGTATATCACTTATTGTGTCATAATTGAAATAAAAAAAAATTAATATTCACACTACTCTTGATATTGTTAGCGATTGTCAAGCCCATGACGAGTTGTTTTAACTTTGGGTAACAAAGGCTAAGGCGATCTTATTGATAATACAATGAGTACAAAACAAGAGTCAACTAGCGGCACCATTTATTCCGGATTCGATGGAACCGCACCACACAAAACTAGATCACACGCGCGACCGTGTGGTTGCCTTGTTAAACCGCATAACTATGATAATGCGCATGACAATAAAGATTGTTTAGATGCTTCAACTCCGAACATGGACAACTTCAGTTCCATTATAATACTATACCAGCCTACTGTAAAAAGTTTCTGCATATTTCGAGCTGTTATAAGAGTTAGAAGCTGTTCCTGTAATTAAAAAAAGAGTACTATCATAAAAATGATTTTATTAATTTCAGTTCTTAGTATTGATTTTAGACATATAAAAATAATACATTTTATTCTTATTTTTTGAACTGATGAATATTTTTTAAAATAAAAGCTTATTACTTTTATTTTCATAAAATTAGTCTTAAAGCCGAATGTTAATATTAATTTTTAAGTTTGGTTTAACTACTTGAAATTGGTAAGTTTTTAATTAAAAATTATTATATTTTTTATGTAATAAATATTTTAAAATAAAAATATATCATTTTTAAATGGTTAAAATCAATCTCGCAAATTAATGAGCCAAAACAAAATGTGATTTCGTTAAGAGGCGGCTAGAATATAAAAGTGTCCTCAGTCTTACAAGGTTGATAACTTTGCCATTGTCTCGCAGGCTCTTTTTTTTTTTTTTTTAAATCCAGATTTGGCCATTGAGGCATTGACAAAGGGATAGCCAGTGCACACGACTCTGATCAAATGTGTGTTTGTTTGGGAGAAATGGATTGAGAGGGGAAAGAACGGAGTATAATTTATTTGTTTGAATGAAATGGTTTTAATAATGAGATCATTTTAAAACCATCGGAAAAGTTAGTATCTCCATCGATTAAATATATATATATATATAAATTTCCCATTTTACTGTTTCAGAAAACAAATAGTTTGATGGACTCAAAAAGTATGGCAAAATCAGAAAGCAAACTGAGTCGTGGGTGCAAGCTAGGTTATAAGTTCTGTCCATATGTATTGAATGGATAAAAGAAAACAACTTCCTGTAATAGTTTTCTTAAATAATCACAACGTATAAGACAAAAGTTTTAGTTCAGCTACAGCTACATATATGTATGCTTATTATGAGGCTAATAATTGCTGTAATAATATACAGTCCTAAGATTAATTCCGCCATGGATTGGAGTGGGAGACAATAGTGATACCCACCAAAGCATACAAAAATTATCTAAAACCGATCCATACTTCCCCCACAAAGCACCAATGATGCTAAAACTTAATGAAAGAGCCTAATAAAAAAAAAGCATGGATATAATTTGAAACTAAGTGCTCCTCACCAGCCTCCAATCCAACAAAAACCAACACCACACATCAAAATCCTCTATAGATTACAACAAAACAAGGCAATATAGCTCGTGGGTTGGACACAAACAACTCATCCAAATTAGAATAAGCCCCAACAGCCCCAGCAACAGAATCATACTCCTCCATACCACCCTCTGCATTCTTCTTCACCCTGCCTGCTATCACCCGACAAACCAGCATTGCTCTCTTGTCGTCACTCTCATCGCATGAAACACTCAATTTGTCATGAGCCCTCCCACTTGTTGCCGTTGTCAAGATACCGTTTCCTCCTGTAACCTTGAACCCATGCTTGATTATGCTACACACATTGCACTGTGGTATTGAGTTGCACAAGTTGGAGGACCCATTTAGGCCTAGTGAGCACACAAAAGTGGTGCAGTGAAACCTGAGTAGCTCATTGCCATCTGCTATGCATCTTGGATGTTTCTTGGAGTGCTTTGTGGCTTTGGCTTTTATTGAGTCTCTGTACTCTTCGAATTTGCTTATAGTCTTCTGAGTGTTGTGGACCTTAAGGATGCGATCTATTTTGCACACGGGTGATTGCTTCTTTAGCCAGCTTGAATGGAATATAATTTCAACTATGTTCTTGCTTGTATCTTCTGGACCCAGTTCAGAAACTGAAATTCACAACAAAGATAACATAATAAAGCATTGCTAATATTATTAAAAAAAAAAGCTTTTTTTGATAATAAATATATTAAAATAAACTAAAATATATATATATATATATATATATATATATAAATTATTTGTGATGTGATATGATACCTGCATGTTTGACAGCTTGGTGATGTTCCAAAGTTTCAGCTTTCATGATCTCACCACAGTCAGGGCAAGAACAAATGGTAGTTCTTAGAGAAGGGTCTCTAGTGAAACCAAGAACTGGGTCTACCACCATTCTACACTCATAACAACCGGAGAGTCTTCTGAATGGCATTCCTCTGAAAGATCCACCGCCAGAAGAACTTGAAGATGCTGATAATGAAGAAGAAGAGGAGGCAGCCACGGTTCCATTGAGTTCATTCAGAGGAACTTTCATGGATCTGCTAGAAGCATCGTTGTTGTTTAATCCACTTAGGGACAACCTTTTCTTGTGGATATCTGGGGTTGCTATTTCAGGTTTTGCCATGATCTTGGTGTTGTTACAAAGCGAACCTGAACATTTCATCTTCTTGCTCTTCTTGCTGTTTTCTTCTGGGACTCGTTCCTCTTGCAGCTTTCTCTGTTCCTGTTTTTTCCTTAGTTGTTTTGCTTCTTGTGGAGGTTGAGGTTGCGGTTTTGCTTCCTTATGATGCTGCTGCTGTTGGATTTGCACATTTCTACAAGCTAATAGCCCTCTTACAACCCATGAAGGTTGTTTCTCAGTCTTTTGTGGCTGTTGGTTTTGGTTTTGGTGATGCTTGGTAATGGTTGGTTTTTTGTGGGTTTTGGGTTTGCTCATTTTAGAAAGGATGGAAGTTTCTTCAGCCTAGCAAATGGTGGCTAAGGGGGTGCCTTTTTATTTCACAAGACTTGAATATGTGACATGGAGGATTGGAGATTTAGTAGCAGGGGACAGGGCTTGGTTCTTGAAGCAGAGCTATGTCGATATAAAAACTTAGAATAAGATTCTGAATTGGGGTCATTTTGGACTTGGGAGTGTGAGAGGGGCTCTCAAGACTGAAGCTTTCCGGAACCTATAGCTGAGTTTCCTCCGGGGCAGATGTAAGACTTTATGATCACTGTCTCTCACCTCTCATTGTTTTAGATTGAAGAGTCATTTTTATATTACTTGTTTTAGCGTGTACATAAAGATATATAACCAAAAAAAATTAATATATAATATATTTTAATATTATTAATATGTCAATTCTCATAAATATTTATTATCTATGATTTTTTATCATGTCTCTTTAAATATATATTAAGATTTTGTTTATATATAATTAATAAAGAGATATTGGCCTACGGGTCCCCCGCCTTTTTATGCTCTGGATAAAACATTTTGCAAATATCATAACTGACCTACTTTATTGCCCTGAAATTGGTGGTTAAGGTTCATTTTGTAAACATTTTCATGGTTAATGGTAGTTTAATAAATATTTACAATTGCTCTGACCACATATTGAGTTTAGCCTTGCAAATGAACCTTAACCACCAATTTTTCTTTTAATTCACTAACTTGTAAAGTTTTCCTTTTTTTTTTCTTCTGTTTCCTCTCCATATGTCCCCGCCGAGTAGTTGTGGTTTGGGTTGAGTGATTGCAAAGATATGAAACATGAAAATTCGAGGAAATTTACATTTGTGTTTAGTATTATTTGCAGATATAATGGTCCCCCGACTCCCTCGGACTTTTTGTTTTCCTAAGATGACATAACTCCAAAAGGGAAAAATAAAAGCTTAAATAACGCGGCAGAATTATATCATTCCATTCCAATATTTAATCCACAGAAAATCACGTTTCAATAAAAAGTGGATCATGTAAAATTAAGATGTGTGTATACATTGGGTTGTCTTTGCCCTCCTTTGAAATCTGTCACTACCACATTTTTTCCATCATTTAATACACAATTCTTGAGCAAATCTGGTCCTGGAAATAACATGGTTTATGAGTTTTTAAAACCGCTTCTCGACATTATTGGAATATAAAATGAACACTTTTACCTCACTTAAGGACCATATCTTAACAAATCTAATAGATAACCGATTAATACTCTTTGGATAGGACAAAAACATTTACACATCACAGCTAGAATATGCATCCAAGAGTACCAACTGGTTCCGTTCGACCCCTCAACCCAACACAGCTTATGGGGAGAGAGTTGAATAATTAATTAGGCTTGTCTTTATTCTAAGCCCAAGGTGGACTTTTTCGGGCTAAACGCATTGCACCGTTTGCAAGGTACTCCACTAATTACCCCATAATGGTGCCTCTTATAGAGAAAAGCTGCTTATTTGATTCCTTTTTTGCCTCAAAATCATGCGAGCCCATATGCTATGGAATAAAGCCGCGTACTTTAATTATCATAAAAATCAGAAATTTCCCTCAAAATTTTTGTTTTAACCGCTAACTTGTTCTACTACTATTCTAACTCGATCTTGGATTTGTATGAACATAATGCATAGTATAATTTGTATTGCAAAAAGCATTGGCACAAAACATAGCCGTTGGTGAATAAAGTTTCTGAGGTTTGATCACTTGTTTACCGTTATAAGAGGTGTGAAGATTACTCTTTAGCTATCAAATGGAAAGGTTTTGTAGTCTAATAGAGCAAGTATTGTTCACTAAGCTTTTGATTTGCACTCACGCTAGGGAAATGAAAATCTCTTTGCTCTGAAAAGCTGATGTTAGCCAGTCACATATATCTTTAAATTTTACTTCTTTCAGTGGGACATTAAGATAAGAACTTCATCATTTGCTTGCTTGAGTCTTGAGTAACAACACTAATTACAGTGGTAGCAGTGCAGGCACTAAGCATATTTTAAATTTTAAATTAGCATGTGATATGAGTATCATCAGTTAAAGTGCACTTGCAATTTTAAAATGGAAAAAAGAAAGAAAAAAAAACTGAATAGAGAAGTTCAACTCAGGCTAGTACATGTAATTAAAAAGGGCTTTTGTTCTTTGTTGTAATGCTGGGCCCTTGTGGTGATCATATGATAAAGTGCCAGCTACAGCTTACTAAAGTAACTGAGAAGTTCTTGTGTACTCATGTAGCTCTAGGAGCATATCATATCCATTGGTTTAATAAATGAAAAAGAGAGTAAGAAGAAATCAATGGTTAAGATCTCTTATTTGAATAAGAAAATTGTTACTCCAACTCCATGTATGAATTTTTCCAAAAACAGAAGAGAGTACGAAATTTGATGTGATAAACAAAGGACAATAGAAGAACCTTTAAAAACAGACAGATAATAAATACGAGAAGCCACCATTTGATTGTTATTGTCCTCTCCACAGACAAATGAACAACTAAAGATAACAAACTACGGCTACTAGATTTTCGGATATTTGATGGCAACTGAAGTGTGACTTCAAAATATTATAAGTAGATTAATTTTATATAAAAATTAAATAATTAATTATTTTATTGTATTGTTTTATTTTAATATATAATATATTTTTAAAATATAAATAATTATCAAATATTATATTATATTTTTATAAACATTTAAATTATATAAAAACTTAATACACATAATTATAAAAATTATATAAAATATTTTTACGATTAGATGAATCTTACTTATTAAGTGGTAAAAGTATTCTAATTTCACATCTTTTGTCAATTTTAACATCTGAATTGAGTCTAAATACGTATATTATATTCAACTTTTTCTTTCGTATTCCTTTTTATAGTTACTTTTATTATTTTGTAAAACCTCTTTTTGTCTTTTTCATCTCTCTTATTCAATTAATTGGGTCTGTACATTCTAAATAGGTATACAATTTTTTTCATACACAACTATAAGTAGAAGATACACATAATTTAACAAGAAATTTAAATTATAAAATTTTAATCGGAAGATCTTTTTGGCTCAATCCAATGATCCATACTCCAGTATATGTCGGGCAAGATGATGAGAAGAAAATAAACCAATCTTAGGCACGAGGAATGAGAGTATCTAGGTCCTGATAATGGCTTAGTCAACAAGTTAGTGACTAAAAGGAATATGAGAAACTTGGACAGCATGCAAAGCTACAAAATCATGCACATAGTGATAATTAGTAAAATCTTATGCTAAATTCTTGAAGAAGCTGACGAAGCCATTGAAACTCATTTTGGAATGGGTGTGAGTAGCGAGTAGCAGCGAAATCATCTGAAGCCATTGACGTTGGTTTGACGTTGCTGATGAAGTAAAATGGATTGACATATACGATAAAACAGTTAAATAAAAGGTGTAATTCTGTATTAATGAAATCAAATGAAATAAAAATTAAAACAAAAAGTTGTTTAAGATATAAAGGTTAAAAATATATTCAAATAATAATTCTTCTAACGTTTGTTTAATGGATTAAAACGTCTAACTTGCTCTTCAAAAAATTACAAAGTATAAATTTACTACTCGAGAGCATATAACCTCCAAATTTAAAGTAATCATTCTTCATGTGGACGATTCACGATTGTTCTTTCCTGAAATAATATATTGCCACAATAATAGGTTGTATTGTTTACGTAAATAACCAAATCCAAATCTTAGCTGCGGCTCATCAGGCATTTACTAATTTACTTTTATCTCTTTTTGAAATTTGATTCTTTCAGCTTCAAGTTGCCCTACAAAGATGTCAGAAAAAATTTGTTAATATTTCAATTTGAATTGGGTTTAAAAGGCCATAGGAAATAAATGTTACCAAGTCAAAAAGATTCTCTTTGGTAACTTGGAGCTCGAATTGCAAGCCATGAGGCAAGGGTGTCAGTGTTCTTGTATTTTCAAAAGTATATATTAAAAATTAGATGTGTTTTGTTTTGTATATTAAAAGCAGGACCTTCTGTTATTGGAGAATTTGTGAAAAAATGATCATTATAGGAAAGAGAAATTAGACAGCAAGAATGGTAGCCAATTCGTCAGACATTCACGTGTCCCTCATTTGTGAAAAATTAATAAAGAAAAAGAAAAACGCACTTTCACACTTATATTTTCTACTAATTTTATTGACATAAGATGCGATAATGAAATTTGAATCGTAATTTCATATAAACTACTCAAATTCCTCACAACTAGTTTAAGTCTAGTGTGTTATTGACTTAACATGTCAGCTATTTAAAAATTTCTCTTTATAAGTGTTACGTCAAATTTTGAAGCAGATTACTTTATCAGATTTCCGACCAAAGACACGTTATCACAAGACACAGAATTTTGCGATTATTTACAAATTTTAAGGACAATCAAAACTAAATTTTTGATCTCGTAATGATCGGTTCTAATTAGTACCTAAAATTTTAAGGCTTCAGATATTTTAGTAAGTGCAAGTGTTTGTATAAAAATTATAACTTCAAACGATGAAATTAAATCTTATTTATAATTATAACATAATAATTCTCTCTTGCTATCTGTTTTCCAGGAACATGGTTTGACAGTTCTTAACTTCTTATAGATAAAAATGACATTGAGAAAATAATTAATATAAAAAAATAATAAATTACTTTGTAACCATAGTAATAAATTACTTATTAGTGTGTTTTAGTTATTTTAAACATCAGACAGTATTTGGTTAATAGTTATGGTTTCTTGTTTATAACATGATAGTTGGTAAATTAGTATCTATAATGTGTTGCAATTTATCCATGAAAAATATAGATTTTACCTAATGAATTGGAAAGTTTGGAGAAGTAACCATATTATATTCAAAGCCCATATATTTCATGCATTGGTAATAAAAATGTGACATCTTTAACTTTGTAAAGTTTGGCTATTCAACATAATTCATTCACCTCAATTTTTTTTTGGGTTTGCATGGTCCTCTTTTCTATGAAGGTGCTAATATAATTATCTTTTGTAGCTGTGACTATTAATTGGATTAATAATATAGTTATAACATCTCTGTTACACTTGCCTACTATAATATTAGTGTATATAATGAATTAGATTGACTTCTTATATGACATTAGAATACAAATATATCTACATGAAAAGTTCACTAAATCACAAGTTACAAATGCAATTATGTGATTTTTAATTAAAAATTAAATATATCTACATGAAAAGTTCTCAATTTTGTCAAATATCCTTGCACATGTATGCTTTGAAACATAGGTCTTTAACCTATAGGTACTTGTATTGTCAACTTTGTTAACAAATGTCATCCAATCACAACTTAGAATATTGTACCTAACCTTACATCCACTGTCATCATTATTTAAAAATTTAATTTATTAACCATTTAAAACATAGTGCTATGTAATTGCATTCTTAGATTGGTATGTTGAAATGAATTTCATTCCTAGTTAAAACTCTAAAGTATTTCTACATTTTTCAAGTTGAAATGGTTAATATTGAGGTTTATCATCTACTTCATTGTGTGACAAATATCACTATGCAATTGATCACTATGATAATCGTTATCTATATCATGCTCACCAGTCCCCAACTCCTCACACAATCCATCACCAACTCCTTCATTTTCTTGTCAACTAGCATAACATTCAACTGATCCAAAATCTGGCACATACTCATTTTGCCTAGTTACAGTATCTACATTATGTTTCTGCCCTACCCTCATTTTTTCCATCTCCTTGTTGTCCAATTCCACATCCTGTGTCAAGCCCAATTCCATCCTCTACATCAGTCATTTCTAGAGCATGAGCATCTTATGTTATTTCTTTTAAATCATCATTAAATGATAACTCAAATATCTTTCACCACGTCAAAAACTCCACTTATACTCGAAATTCCTTATATTTGACAACACTACCATCTGTCAATGTATACATTACGCACAAGCCCAAGTTTTTTTCACGAGTAAGAAGCCCAAACTTGATCAATCCATGGCTTTTTGGTTGTTGGAGGAGCAAGTGGGGTGTATAGGCTGAAAATAAGCCCAAGCCCACAAGAAAGGTGGGGGAGGGGAGCGCGAAAGGAAGAATTGAATTTCAATTTGCGTTTTGGAGAAAAGGGAAATTGAGGAGCGATAGAAATGCTCGATGGATGGGAAGCCTAACCCGGATTCCTCTTCCCCGAACTTCCTCCGCCACGTTCAAGCCGCCTTGAAACGACACCGTCCTCTCGGTAGCTCCATTACTCTTCATTTCAACCTCTCTCTTCTAAATTGCTTTCAACACTTGACTTAGGGTTTCACTTTCAGGTACAATGCAGTCCAATTCCATAAGGCCAAGACGCACTCTTCTTCCTCAACGAAGGGTTTCCAATCCCACTGAATCCAACAACTCTCTAGAAATTTCATCTAAGGACTCAATTTCAGTTCACAGCAACGTCGCTGTTTCTTCTCAAAACCTAGAAGCTCAGAAGAAAGTTCACTTTTCAATTCAAACCAACATTGCTCCGCAGGGTAAAGTTTTATGATGTTGTGATTTTTGCATACTCCGAATGCGATATATTTTTCTCGTCTTTTAACTTGCAGATGGAAAGGTCACTGAGTTGGAAAATTTATCATCTCATATGAGTTCGCTTGGATTCGCAGAAATGGATTGGGTTGAAGGCAACCAACTCGAAGCGTCGTCGTCGCTTGGATTCAACCAAGACTCGAAGCAACAAAATGTTCAGCAGGCAGAGTTTGATGCCAGTTTGAGATCTGATGGTGGAGTAAGTTCTGTTTTGCCGAAGGGAACTGTGGTTATGCAGGATCATCTGCAGCAATTCAGAAGTTTTTTGAGTCAGCCAGCGACGCAATCTTCGGTTATGGGACCTTCTTGTGCTACAACTACCTCGGTTCATTCAACTTCAGCTCCCATGTTAAATTCAACCACCCGTTATTCTTATTTGCATCAAGATGGTGGTTCACGTGTGGCTGCCGAACCTTTGGGGAAGCTTAATGTTAATCCTCATCCTACAACTGAAGTGGTTATGAAATCATTAAATGCTTCAATAAAAGAAATCAATAGAGTTGATCAGGCAGAAGTTGAAGTTCGAGTGGCTGGTCCTGTTATTGATACAGAGTTGGCATCTAAAGAGAGTGATCAATCTAAGGAGCAACAGGGATGGATGTTAAAGGAAACTGGGCATTCCAAATATACTTGTGATGACACTAAAGGGAAAGAACCTGCAGATGATGGCAACATACAAGCGCAGGTTACATTGCCCTCAACTGCATCTTCAGGTGTGAAGTTGGAGCCTTCTAGATTAGAAAAACAAGAGAAGGCTGCAAGTAGTAAAGGTTCATCTACTGCTCGGAAAAGGATGTATGATCCTGATTTGTTTTTTAAAGTCAATGGCAAGCTATATCAACGTCTTGGCAAGATAGGTAGTGGTGGAAGCAGTGAGGTACACAAAGTGATTTCATCAGACTGTAGGATCTATGCACTTAAAAAGATCAAGCTCAAGGGTCGCGATTATGCTACTGCATGTGGGTTTTGTCAAGAGATTGAATATCTAAATAAGCTGAAGGGAAAGGATAACATCATACAGCTTACAGATTATGAGGTACTCTGCTCAACAACTGATTTCTGTTATGATGCTTAGCAGTTCATGTTTTTAGTTATTTCTGCTTCATATCTCTCCTAGAGACGTATGGGGATACAATATATAGGTGCAGTTTGAGTAATCTTATTGATAAGTCCTTATAGAAAAGAGAAAAAATACTCAATATGAAAAATGAATAAAACTTCTCTTATAAGTTGAAAGTAACTCAGATTCCTCAAGTTTTTACAAAAGTTAGATGAAAGAGTTTATATATAAAAAAAATATTCCTATAAGTATTTATTGAGAAGTTTATCCAAATTGGGTCATCCTCACTTAAGATTTGTACTTTGTGTATATACTCTTCTTCCTTTTAGAAAAAGGATCTTCTTTTGAATTCGTTTTCATGTCTATAGTGTATAAAAAATATTTATGTTCTAGTGTAATTTACTTTTACTCAATCAATCAATTTTGTAATTAGGTGACTGACAAAGCTTTGCTTGAGGAAGTTATGAAAGGATCCTGCGGTAATAAAGATGGCCGGGTCAAGGATGATGGATATATATACATGGTACTTGAATATGGGGAAATTGATTTGGCTCACATGTTGTCTCAGAAGTGGAAGGAGCTGGATGGAAACGACCAGACCATAGATGAGAACTGGCTTCGATTTTATTGGCAGGTTTCAAATGTTTCCTTGAGAATATTTTGTCATTTCTTTGAACCTCCATGTTGCAGTACTTTTGCGTTCTTGATTCAATAATTGAAATTCCTAGTGCTTGGGTTATCCTAAAAGAATGTAAATAACACTTCCATGCTTATATCCATAGCTACTTCTATGGGTTCTGGATGTTCAATCATTTCTTCATATTTCATATAACATTTGAAAAGTAGTAGTTAGAATTAGGAAATGAACACTGAATTATGAATAAGTGGTAGAAATAATCTGGTTGTTTTGGATAGATTTAAGTAGAAACATGAACAAACACGAGGTATAATTGTCACATAATGTACAACTGCCTAATTTGATATTAATATAAGATTAACTGCTTGATAACTTTCTAAGATGGAATTTGAGCTGCGTAATAACTGTCTAATACAGAACTTCGCCTATCAATCAAATATCTGCCATGACTCGAAAATGGGTTTGTGACTGGTGCACAGACTAAGTTATCTAGAAACACCACTTAACTTGGCAAGTTTATTTAGAAACTAGCACATGAGACAATAAACCTCTTTCAATCACATAATATAACAAATTTGCCAAAATTTTGGCAGATTCCTCTGTATTTTCATTATCTCAAAATATAATAACCTTTCTAGATTGATTTATAATTCAACCAAAACCAATCAAATTTCAACATATCATAATATCAAAACTAGAACATTTGTTAATACACATCCAAAATAAAATTCTATCCCCTAAATAGCTGCAAAATGTCCAAAACATAAAATAAAAAGAAAAGTGTCAAAGCTGCCAAAACAGTGGTGACCTACCAATAAAAATTCTATTGGGATAGACTGATGTTCCTAGTAACCTGCAACTCTGCTACTTAATGATCTGTAAATATTAAATAAATAGGGAGTGAGTCACACAAATTCAAAGAGGACATAATAACTACAAGAAACAAGAAAGAAAAATAAATATCACGAGTAGTTCGCAATTAGAGAACTTACTTAAAATCCCTTAAGAGTTTATAAACTTTTACTGTTAAAAAAATATCATTTCAATCATGAGTATTATAATAAAATATACATATGTTAGAATTAAATAATATTAGTTTTCTAAACCATCATCAAAGTAGGCGTCAATATAATGCTATAAGAGTTACAATTAAAGTCCAAGATAGTTCCATCTCGTTGATAGCCCTCTCCTCTCTAGGGTAGCCTCTCTTTTAGGGATAGTTCCATCTAATGGGTAGTTCTCTTTTGGCATCTATCATGTCGTAATTAATCTTGACAGGAGGCAGCTCCACCTAGTTGATAGTCCTTTTTGTGCACCGGTGGTTTCATCTAATGAGTAGCCCTCTTTTCTTGCAGTATAACTAGGTGGACCTAAACCGTTATTTTTGCTAATGGTCACGAGGTTCTAACATAACTACTCCCAAAATATTTATATGACAAAAATTCATACTCATACATAAATCAGATTTGTTTTCAACAATTGAAGTCTCAACGCATGTGTCTCATAATTAAATACCATCAAATAAAATCAAAATAATTATTTCTTTCACACTTTTTAAAATAAATTCATATACTAAAACAAAGTACACATCTCAATAAACTTTTATATGATCAAGAAATAAATTTAAGATTTTTTCCTTCAAGTTAATAATTTTATGGCAATAATAACATAATGAAGACCAATTAATTTGCGTCACATGACTACTCTTGAACCATAAGAAAAGTGTAAGTCTACAATTTTGAATACTAATAATATTTAACAGATATTCAGAACTAACTTCAATAATAAAATTCTTAAATTTATACCCAAAGCTCTAAAATACACATTTCCTAAGAATAAGAACTTGCCAAGACCCAACATTTTTATGTATTCAAATTGTGAACATGCCTTAAGAATTCAAATAGAAAATTTCTCCAGTGAGTAACACCCCTTTTTCTTTAGAGCATTATCTCTAACTCTAAAAATTCACACAAAGATATCTATGTAAAAGAGAAAAATTAAATGAGTTAAAAGGATTTTTCTAGAATCCCAAAGGGATGAGTTAAAGCAAGAAAATGAATATTCACATGAAAAAATGAGAGAACCTGCCAAGAACCAAATTGAGGGTGATAACAATTGAGGCAATGTGCATCTTGCAATGAAAAGAAAGGCTTGAAGGAATTGAAGGGCCTTTGGGTGTACCGGTGTAGCATGCATGAGCATTTCTTTCTTTTAAATGACCCACTCTGTCCTTTTTTAATGAACTCGCTGCCATTTCTTCTTTTTGAGAAATTGTGCATTTCAATATCATTTATCATAATCAGATTTGAAATTATGTTTTCTCACTTGTTGCCAATTTCCTCCATTATACAACTATGAACTTTTGTTTCTTTTCCTTGTTCATTTTCTTTTTACTGGAACATTTTTAAAAGTGAGAGTAATAGAAATGAGAATATTAAGTTGAATGAGTGATTGCATGAAAAAAGACAATATCAAAAATGATAATACGTAAGAATATTAATGTAACACTTATAATGAAAAAGATGACTGAAACTATTGAAGGTGGTTTTGTCATGTGCAGAGAAAACCTTTAGAGACACTAATAAGAAGAATGGATGACATGACTTTTAGTCCTATAGAAAAAGGGTAGAATGAGACCTAAAAGAACTTTAGAAGAAATTATAAAAAACCTTTTGACTAATTATATTTTTAAAATTTTGATTTTTGACAAGTTCAATGGTATCGTATGATCTATGTAGCTGATCTCATTTAGTAGGGTAAGGTAGTTGTTGGAACACTTTTTTTCCTTGCTTCTGTCAATGCAAATTAGCTGAGACTGTTCTGTTGACACATTTGCAGCAAATTCTTCTAGCTGTCAACACTATTCACGAGGAACGAATTGTGCACTCAGACTTGAAGCCAGCTAACTTCCTCCTTGTCAAAGGTTCCCTAAAACTGATTGATTTTGGTATAGCAAAAGCAATAATGAACGATACAACCAACATCCAACGAGATTCACAGGTGATGCTTATTTTCCACCTCTTCTCTCCTTTTGACTCACTTGTACATATGCTATGATTGAGATGCATGTTTCTCCTGAGGCTCTATGCTGCTTTATACCCTAGGTTACTTACGGTTTTTTGTTGTTCATAATTGGGATGTACAGTGATGCCTTACTCATGTTTTTCTTGCATTGCGCAATGTGATGCATAGTTGCATATAAGTGGTGTACAAACTGTATTAAGTGGTTTTGGTGAGGGTGGTTAAGTTATATTTTAGTGGGCCTTACTCATAATTGGTTTGTTCAGCTCTATAAAATTTACAATTTCAGATTTTTTGTTGTGGATTCTGTCTTAAGAAAACACAATTCTTTTGATAATGTCTTGGTGTAATTATATTTGTACTTAAAATGTGCTTTAAACTCTTGTAGGTGGGTACGCTAAGTTACATGTCTCCAGAGGCATTTATGTGTAATGAGACTGATGCGAATGGAAATGTAATTAAGTGTGGTCGGCCATCAGATATCTGGTCCCTGGGCTGCATCCTTTATCAAATGGTATATGGGAGAACACCTTTCTCTGAGTATAAGACATTTTGGGCCAAATTCAAAGTTATAACTGATCCAAATCATGAAATTACGTATGAGCCAGTTTCAAACCCATGGCTTATGGATCTTATGAAGAGGTGTCTAGCATGGGATCGCAATCAAAGGTGGAGAATTCCCCAGCTACTCCAACATCCTTTTCTTGTTCCTCCTGTACCATCTTATCCGTCTTTGTCCCAAGACCATAGCTGTAAACTGCTACAACTCATTGCTGAAACTTGTACATATGACCCGGAAGCATCCCAACTCTGTACTCAGCTCCAGCAGCTTCTTGTTGATCCATTCAAGATAACATCTCCTCACTCACTAAATTCACGAGATCAACAACTAAAACTGCTCTCCCAAATGTCAGAACTCTGTATTCAGCTACAGGATTGTTTGACAAATACTGAAAACAACTAGGTGAGGAAGAAAGCTAGGGAGTTGATCAGTGGGTGTATAATTTTTTTGGGCTATTTGCAATATATTTTCAACTTAATTTTTTCACTCACTTTATACCCTCTATGGTTCTCATTTTTCCATTACATCTCCCATCCTATTTATCATGTTTCCACCCTCCTCTGGCCCCTCCCGAAGTGTGATTGAAAAAATCTTTTGTACTTCTTCGATCTAGTTGTAGTAAATGTAATAATCGTCATAGCATTTTTCATGGGTTAGCAGTTTACTGGGTGGCATCGTGTGTATTTCCCATTATTCAGATGGATTATAATGTGTAGCAAGTGAATCAATTTAGTACAGGTCTTGTATAAATTTTGTGAAGCTAGACAAGTGCCAGGTTCCATTAATGTTTTAATGAGCAAATTATACGTCTAGATTTTTTTAAAATTTTATGCATATATCTTTTCAAGTTTTAGACATTTGTTACTGCTATAGAAGTGTATGTAGTTATACTGGGATTTTTTAAAGCAATTAGAGTTTATTTGGGTCTGTGAAAATAGCTTATAGCTTGTGTAAGTATATTTTAACCTATTTTTAAAAGCTTATGTGAATCTTATTTAAATAAGATTTTTTTGTGAAAAGCTTACAAAAAGATTGTGTTCAATTTTCTTGATTATTTTTTTATTTCCGCATAAATAAAAGTCCATGATTGTAATTTCGTGGACTGAGGCAACAAGAGTATTTTCATCACATCTAGGTAAGATCAAAACATTTTTCCTTTAAAATAAAACTGCTTTAATCTAGCACGCACAGACAATAATTAAAATAAGAAAAATAAATCCCTCTTCTAAAACAGGCAGCACCTACTTTTTTTCCCCTTCTTACCCTTACTTTCCTCCTACTACGAGACAGTAAACACTGCGAAAAAAAAGAAAAAGAAAAAAAGAAGTAAAGAATGATTATATAACCTCCAGATCGAAGGATATATTGGAATACGTACGGACCATGAAAAGTAGTGGCTACTGACAATTTTGTTTGATTGCGATTCTTGTGATGCACTGAGCAAATGCTAACATGTTCTCTAACCCATTTGTCTGATCCAGGTTGGCGAATGCTAACATGTTCTCTAATAAATTTCTTGTTCCTGATTAAAATTTATTGAAAATTAAAAGAAATATAAGAAAGAAGTATTAAAGTAAAAGTAAAATTCATATAATTTTGTAATTTTTAATAAATTTTAATTAATACCAAAGTGTATTAGAAAGTGTGTTAGAATATTGCTAGCATTCCTCAATCCAATTTTAATCAATATCTTGGTTTTACAAAGAAGCAAAAATTGTAATCATCAACATGCTACTTTTCTACTACTCTAGAGGAAAGTTTGTAAGACGCTTCAGCACAGGCATCTTCCAATTTCATCAAGAGTTCCTTCACGAAAGGTGTATTAGTGCCATGAGTAATCCGTAGTATATCCACAGCCTTGGTCAGTGATTTAACAGCTTCCTCTGTGTCTCCAAGATACCTATATCAAAACCATTATGCTCAAACAACAAAAATACATGTCCCTTTTTACTATGAGGATCAGCTACATTGATAAAAAACTATTAAACTCGAATTATTTATTTATTTTTTAAGATTAGTTTGATTATTATTGTTAGTATACATCTTTTTTAAAATTGTCATCCAAATATGTATTGCTAGATCATTAAAGAAGTTCCACTATCACATCTTGCTAAATTGTTCACTGCCTACAGTAAAAGTACAGCAATCTTTATACACTTACTATTAGTCATAAGTTTGTTCAGTTTTTTGTTGATGTATATGTTATGCATATTTACAGATAAACACTTAAGTACTCTTTACAAAAGAAAAGCATGACATTTTGTCCCCACAAATGCTTTCACTTAGTCCAAGAATTTAACAAAAGCCTTTGTCCATTTCGAGACTAAAGGCTACAGCTGAGAGACGCTTACCATTCTAGTTTTCCGCAAGTATAATATTGCAAACCGAGCAGAGGGTGAACAGCCGGATACACTCCTGCGATGAAGTAAAACATCCACCACTGGATATTAGCAATATATTTATGAACTCTTTTCTCAAAAAGAAATGAATGGTAAGCTTCAGCACAAAAGGCCAAGTGAATATTGAGATGATCGTAAACTACAAGATGATTAAGATTGGTTTAACTCTGTCTTTGGTATATATATACATCAAACTGATGTAAGACTGTACATGCATAAGTTTGTCACATTGTGTCTGGCATAACTTTCCATGACCACTTAAATGAAATCCTATTTAATATTTCTAATGGAGATTGAGAGAGTTTAGTGACTTGACCTTTTGTAGGCTCTGTTGAAATTATGGGGATTTAGGAATAGGTAGAAAAGGGAGATAAAAGAGACTGAAATGGTACAAAGCATAAATCATTATCCCTCATTTATACTAATACTAGACCACAATCTTATCTAAATAAGGAAACAAATCACGAAATAGTAGGAAATATTGAAAGTTATTCCAAGAGATAATCTAAGATATTGTAAATAATCCTGAGATTAACCTAGATATTAATGCATGTTCATATATTCTAACACACAATTTAGAAGGCAGTAAATTAAGAATTTAAAGTTGACGAAGGACACTGTTACGTTTTAGAGCACTCAATGTGAACAGAAATGCACCATAAATGTGGGAAGGCACCTGTGTTTCTTTAAATTTTATAGTCTATCAGTCTTCCATAATGCTTCAAACTGCTTAATTTTTTCCCCCATTAAAATATTCTGATAAATTTCATCACAATATTATGTGTACATCTCTGATGTGATTGGAATGTTCTGGGATATTCAGTCAACACCTAATTTACAATCTTCACCTTTTTCTTGTAGATTTAATCTGCTTTGCTAAGTTTGCTTCCTGAATACCTTACATCACTATTGTTTACAACAGGAATATTCATTGTTCCATTAAATGAGGAATGAGAAAAGGAAAACAAATACTTGAAGAGCAACATATACAACTTTGAAATGCTTGCAATAACTCAAACTGATGAAAAAATCAAAGCTAAGTAAGCTCATTATTATGTCGTTTAGTAAGGATCCAAGTTCACTTGGACAAACTTTGATAGAATGGTATGGTCAATTTGCAATATGCTAAAGCTTCTCTCCAATGTTCCAGCTCCATTAATGACTGCAGAGGACAAATATCATATCTTTAGACTCTATTCCAGAGTTGAAAAATATATTATCGCATAAATTGACTAATAGTCTTCGTTTTTACATGTGGCACAGAGAGCCACCCTTTGATACAAAGAAAGAAGACAGCAGATGGCAAGCCAAGAAGTTTTAATTGATAAATGACTAAATGAGTCTTCAAAAAAAAAGAAATAGAAATAGGACAAGCAATTATGCAAACTTTGGATACATATGAAGGAGACAAACTCCTTTTGTCATTAAGACCTGTGGTACACTGATTGCAGGGTCATCCAAAACAGAATGTTAACCAATCCATATTAATTAACTAGTATCTAATAAATTTAAGTGACCAATCAACAGAAAAATAATTTGTTTGTAAGAAAAGGCACAAATAAGATCTACATGCCCTGAACAAATCTCCATAGCAAGCATGGATACAACAAGGATATGGAGATATGACATATTTTAAAAATTTTTAAAATCATAAGACACGTGACTATAATAAAATGTGTAAGATTAATTTAAAGTTAACATAAAATAAAAATCTTAATTCACAACATAGAATTCTTGCTTTGAAAATGAATATAAGTTATTTTAGACATAATATAATGCTAAATTTATCAAATTCTTATGATATTAGAAGTTTAAAAAACAAAGTAAAAAAATTATAAAAAAGCAGCAAAAAATATTCTAACTATTCATGCATTGTCACATTAATGTGTCCAACATGGCTACTATTTAGAAGTGTCCATGCTTCTTATAGGAGTTGTGCTAAGTAAAGCATGTAAGACAAGGTTGAGTCTAATATCATCAAGCAAGACGTATTAAGAAGGGAATAATAGCAGATTAGATAGAGAGATAAAAGGAGGAGCTTACCTTCAAAATCTTCTCTCTAGTTTGCATCAAGTTGATTGAGAAAGGATGATAGAGTTTTGTTTGCAGTTTCTCAATACTTTTATATGTGGAAATAGCTCCTTGATAATCTACAAATGGTCAAGGGTTTGACTTCATGGACATAAACTGCAAATCCATTTCATTTGCGCATGGATCAAGGCTGACATGGGGGGAGAGAAGAGAAGATTTGAATGCAAAAGGAAAATAGTTCAGGTGATAGCTATTGCAATTATAAGTTCTTGTCAGAAACGTTAAAGGATACTGCAAGCGGAGGAAGACTTGGAAGCTTCTTCAGATAGCAATTTTATTTCATTTGCAATTTTCTTTACCTCCTCCTTGTCCCTAACCATTCCACATTCTTGGCATTGGAATCCATTTCCATCTGCAATTTTAGCAGATTAAAAACAAGCAAAAAGGTCATTGATAAGAAAGACATAAAAGCACCTGGCAGGTTGTGTATCTTTGATCTCACTCTTGGTCATATAAGGGAGGATGTACCATCACTCCATCAGACTACGAAATCAATAGCCAATAAAAGATTATAATGTTCCTATCCAGTCACTTGACATTCACTATAGCTATATGCAGTCACATACCAGATGTGCGAAGCAAGAAACCACCACATTTTTCATTTTTGCATCTGTATCCTTCTAGAATTGCACTTTCTTGAATATCATCATACTGACCCTTCAAAACTAACTAAACTAAATTAGCCAATGAAAGCATGCCAATTTTTACTAAAATATCCCACATAATGAAAGCCAACCAGAAGATATCCCAGATTATGTAATATAGCAAGTACCACTTTAGAACACCGGGGACATGTGCAAGTGAATAGGTACTGCTCTTTGAGAGCCTTCTGTCGTGTCATAGTGCTTCCAGCAGTCTCTATATAACTTATCATTACCTTAAAAAATACAGAAAATAATTTCAAATTGACAACTATCATCACCTATTGGATGCAACTGTGTTATATAAATAATGCAAAATTACTATAAAGTTTTTAAATTATTCTACTGAGGACAAGAGGGGTGATAAGACAGCTTTATTCAGCATAGTAGAAAAGGCCTCAGTTGCTAGTGTATGGATAATTTTAAATTAGCCATTTAGCATTTATCCATAAAAGCAACCACTCTTTATTTGAATCTAGGAATTCATTTGTATCTTAGAACTGGCCATCACATTGATACATATTCTATCTGAAAATCCAGTAGGTATTCCATTGATAGCACAGTGACAAGGAAATCTGGAAATATTAAACTCCTTTAGGAAGGTATCTACTTTTCCTTGTATAATGCTGGCAGAGTTTTACTTTTGGCCATAAATTACCATAGAAAAGTCACTAAATTTTCAACAGTTTGTAGAAGCACTAATTGCACCTCTGGTAGTTTGACTTCCATTTGCATCTTCTACAGTCTACAATCAAATGGCAGTTCTCTCCGAAATGGTTAAATCCTAACTTTCTGCCCAAGCTTTTATGGAATTTACAAAAATAATCATCAAACAACATTTCTTGCTCTAAAACCAGTGAACTAAATGAAAATTATAATTTCTTTTTAATCATGAAGAATATAAATACATACCTCAGTACCTTTGGGTATATGCTGCACAGCACGTACAAATGCTGACCTTCCGTCAAAAACCAATACGCAATTGGGCAAGCAACTGTATGGTACAAGTTCCAAGATTAGAACGCTAGAAAGAGGAAAATAAATACATATATCGGGGAGGGTGGGGGTTAAGTTAAGTGGTTACCTGTGATTGATGATAGAAATAACAGGATACAATCCTGTTCCCACGGGTCTCAACTCACTGTCACAAATGGTATGTGCATTACATGCAAACTGCAGGATTAGAAGGAGCATAAGACCTTGGAAAATTTTATAACGGTTGTATTAAATGATTTAGGTACAGGAAGGAGCATAAGACCTTGGAAAAATTTTCTGCAATCTCTTTTATATTGATTTCAGGCCATTGTACTATGAAGTTTACAAGATTAGCCATCTGTGCATATAGCACCAGCTGCTCCTCTGTGATATCAGACATGTCTACATGGAAGTGAATGTTAAAAAGAACAATAATCATGGAAAAGTAAGAAAATGGAGCAAAAATATACGTTCATTTCATTAAACCTTCAGACAAAAATAACAAAAAGGATACGAGCCACTAATGCCTCCACCAATTTGTAGTTGTCTGTAGCAGTGCTTGGGATGACCTGGCAACAAAATAAATAATAAAACTCTCTCTTATGGCAACTCAGTGTTCAGATCAGTGGCTGAAGAAGGCTTTCAGAATACACCGAAGAAACTTTTCAAAGCCACAAAAAGGAATTTTAAGGATAACTAGGTCACCAAAAGCAAGTTTATGAATTCAAATGTGAGTGAAATTGAATATAGAAATTAACAAAGGAACGAGGAAGGTAAACATTCAACAGACAGGTCAATAAAGAATATTGACATACTACCAATTTTTTGTACAAAGAATATCAACTTCCTCCATGTTAATCGTCTTAGTGCTACAGTGATTGCTAAGTCAACAATACAGTCAATAACTAAGGCATCCCCCTTCCAGGGATATTTCAACAGCATCAAACATATTTCTAGAATGCAAGTTATGACAGGTGTATATAAACAAGAGTCAGTAACCAACAAAAAGATTGTTTTCCCAAGTTTGACATTAAAAGAAAATTGAATGGTCCTAAAGAAAAATCAAAAGCAATTATGTTTAGCAAAATTGATCTTTCAGTAACATAGACAATTCCTTCCCAATCCCAGTTCCAAATATTGAAATTTGTTAATTGACTGAAAATGAGAGGACCTGCATTTTTAATACACTGCATTAACAAATGTTCGCATTGACTTTATAGGCATATTCATACAACAAGAAAAGGACGTAAAATTTGCAATGTAAAAACCAATCCTTACTTATTAGCACCATTACACTACTCAAAATAAAACTTTCTATATACCTTGTCATTTTGCAACTTCCTTCGAACATAAAGTTTCACCATTAACCGTATAGATGGTGTGACAGATTTCCTCTTGTCCTTGTCCAACCTCGAGAGGGCCTCACACTCAAGACGATGCAGCTTCCACTCTGACTTCTGAATACATATATTAACCCCATTAGTTACTTTTTCACTGAATACCCATATCAGCATTTATTTAACTTAGTGAAAAGTGAAGCAATGAAATAACAAAAATGGCTACACAAGAGAGAAAAACGGAAGACCTGGCATGAAGTTCCACAATAGGATACAAGTTTGCAACTTGAGCACCTGCTAAGGTTAGTTGTGGCGAAACATCCATCACACCTTTTTTGGTCGGAGTTATTTGGAACACAAACATAAGGGTCTTGACTTATAATAACCTCGCCTGCAACACCGTACCCATTTATCATTAACTTGCAAGTAAGAGAGTTGAAACTAATTAGAGAGAGAGAGAGAGAAACCTGGATTGAAATCCCTTATTGCAAAGAGAGAACGACCCTTTTCTGGGATAGTGGAAACTGACAAGTTACGATCCTGCAGGGCACTCTGCAAATCCTCCATTGCTGTAGTGTCTGTTTTGGACTCTGTACACTTCGTTATTAATGGGTTGCCTCCACCCGACCCATCATCACCTGCAACTTCTTCGGTAGCTTTTACTTCTGTTCAATTTTCAAAATTCCTAACTTGTCCTATTTGCACACCATGCAGTTAATTTTCTCTCAAGTTAAATCACAAATGTAATATTACAAATATTTTAAATTTTAATTAAAATAAAAGTTTTTTTGATAATTTATGAAAAAATTAAAATTAAAGGTTAATATATATTATTAAAGTAAAATTTCAACACTAATGATAAAAAAAATCTAAAAAAATATGTAATACTGTAACTATTTTTTTTTTTCATTTAGTGGTCGAATTATACATTTGTTGGTTACTTACTTGCAATTATTCTATGTTTTGATGACTCAATTGCAAAAAAGAAAAGAAAAAGTAAAAACCTTGTTATTTTCGACCTGGGTAAAGGCTTTTGTAAGCTGTAGAAGAAACGTTAATGGTGTTGAGGAACCCTGCGTTGACAGCATCGTTGTTAGTGGTCACCACAAGGAGGCTCTACCTCCGCCATCTTTCTACATCTACATTCATGGCGTCTACAGGTTCGGTCACAACCTCTTTGTGCTCAGATATTATAATATGTTAGCTGAACAATTGAGTGGGCTATTTCAAGTTTAAAGCTTTAATATTAATTAACTGATGCATTTCGGTTCATTAGTTATTCAACAATTTGGGTAAAGCTTGAATCTTCAAAATGAAATAGTTGTTCCTCCCTTTTATTTATCAGTTGTGGATCGCAGTTTGCTGGTTTTATGTGGCAAATCAGTGTTTGAGAATGAAAGTGCTAAAGCTATTAAGACCAATAACACACTCAAGCTCCCTAACAACGGAGAATTCTCCCTTGTTTTGCATTCGGAGCTGGATCAAACTGTTATGCAAGGGTCTTTCCAAGTTCATTCTTTTATGGATTCTCTTTCCACCAGTCAATTTGGAAGGCTTCTCATATGGTCTCCACGGTTAACTTCAACGCATGATGTTGTTTCACAGTATGTTTTGTACCTGTTGCCTTTTCTATGCTCTCTGTTTTGGACTATGTTTTGTTTGGATTGGACCCAGAAGATGCAGCTGAAAAATGATCATTTTGTCTAACTTCATTGTGCCTAAAATGATGCCTTATCTATTTTCCTTCTCATTTTCTACTTACCTGTTTTCACTCTCATCATGTTTAAGATCTTATTATCCTAAGTCTGTCATTATTTTTTTGTAGCAACTTTTGTGAACTTCCCATTGGTACTGTTTGTGTTGCTGATGCTCAGACCAAGGGACGAGGTTTGATATGACATTTAGTGTTATTGTGATTCTCTGTCCTTTTTAACTTTTATTTTAGTTTACGTCAAAGTTGGTTGGAACTGAACAATTTAACTCTCAGGTCGGTCAAAGAATGTATGGGAGTCTCCGTTAGGATGCCTCATGTTTTCTTTTACTCTGCAAATGGAGGATGGACGAATCGTTCCTTTAGTTCAGTACGTGGTTTCCTTGGCTATCACAGAAGCAATCAAGGATATCTGTGACAAAAATGTAAGTGCTTTGTTTTGAAGATTTGGCTTGATACCTAGCTTGCTTGTGATTTTGATAAGGCAAAGTTGTAGTGAGGTTAACAGATTTAAGTATATATATATATATAATTTTATTTTTTTCTATTTACACAATGCATATGTGCAGAAGTTATCAACTAAATAAGCTGAAAAGTAATACTTTCGTGGAAACTAATGGTGCTTTATGTGATTCTTGTAATAACTGTGAAATTGTAGGCAGCAGTAAGAATGGTGTACGAAGGAAAAAAATGCATTTTGGCTTGCTAAATAGAAAAATTGTTTGGTCAAGTATTGCTGCTACGGATATTAAAAATGGGATCATTAACCTGTTAAGCATTGAGGATATATGGCAGCAAATTTTCTGAAAGGAAGAGGAACATAAGACAACCTCCATCATCATAGAGTTAAAAAACTGAATAGTTTACTTTGTATTGTTAAATGAAGATGTTTTCTTTGAATTTGGTTTATTCCAAACCAACATGCAAGATTTGTTTTGATATTATTTATTCTTTGATTGTTTGGGCCCAAAGCACATTTTATTCCAACACTTTCCTTTCCAGGGATTACCCTGTATAGATGTTAGAATCAAGTGGCCAAATGATCTTTACTTAAATGGCTCTAAAGTCGGAGGCATTCTTTGCACCTCAACCTATAAATCAAAGAAGTTCAATGTTAGTGCAGGTAATAAATTATTCTTGGGTAGCTATGCCATTCAATAGTGACTGATAGCTCTTCCATTCCTTGTACTTTATTGCTAAACTTGTCTATCAAATCGCTGTTCTCTGTAGAGAATTTAATTTTCCTTGCTGTCAAAGTAAGAGTAAAATGATTTTCAAGTTTATGCTCATGATGAAGGTCATAACAAATCCCATGCTTTCACAGGAATAGGCCTGAATGTCAATAATGAGAAGCCAACTACATCCTTAAACACAATTCTGAGAGAGTTATCTATGGGAGCTTACCAATTTCAAAGGGAAGACGTTCTGGCTGCCTTTTTTAACAAATTTGAGAAATTTTATGGTTTATTTGTGAATCAAGGTACTGTTCTGTTATCTCATTAGTTGACATTACTTGTTAGCATCATCTCTAACATCATACCCCAGTTCTGATTATCATCTCAACATCTTGTACCTTTGTTCATTCCTCCATCCCTCTCTCTTTCTCTGAAAAACTCATGGATAAATAAAACCTTCAAACATGTTAAATCAACTTCTGAAACATATGCTTCTGTCAGCCTGGTGTATCACTCACATTGCAAGAGTACGGTTGCCTTACAAAGAAATGTCTTGTTTGAGTACGGATGATGCTTGGAAACCTACCCTTTTTATATCTAAAATTGATGGAGCTACTTGTTGTATATAGAGATGGAAATTTGGGGAAGGGGAGAAACAGGCAAGGAAGGAGAGAGGGATATCACTATAAAGCATATGGTGCACCAATGATGTGTATAATTGACCTTGAAAGTGGTTTGCTTGTTTACCATTGCAAGTGCAAAACTCCATTAGCCTCTATTCCTTTTATCAAGGTGATTCTTTTCCCCTTTGTAAGGATTTACTGTTTCTTTTAAGGGCATGTACTGATAACTTACTGAGTGAGACCTGTCATAATGGTAAGGTTGCTTACTTTTAATCTTAATACTCTCGGTTATAGCCTCTCTGCCTACAAGGCAAGGTTTAGTACAATCAACTCTCCACAAACCCTACAATGAAAGGAGCCTAGTGTAGGCTGCCTGTACCTTGGTTTGTATCCAAGTGAAGACTGAAGAAGAAGAAGAAAAGACTCTCTTGGCTTTTAAGATCAGAATCATATACATTTTTTTATGGGACCCAGCTGGATCCAAAGATTTGGAAGGTGTACTCCAGGAGGAAGACGCAGAGAAAAACTCAGAATTAGTGAGATTTTAGAGGTTATTTTAGTTAGTTAGAGGAACATCTTTCAGAGAGCTAGTCCGTTAAGACACTTACAAGGGTCCTAGCTTAAATATTGGGAAAGGGGTTGAAAGAAAGATAGAAAAAGTCAGATTTGTTGTAACTGAGCAAAGGCTGTGTGAGAAGGGGAATCCCTTGTAAGAAGATATCTCTCTTTATGGTTCATTGGAATAATAGTGATTCCCAGTTTTCCCCTTACAACTGACTCTTTTTTTTTTATCTCTTATAAATTCTTTGCCTTTGCTCTGTCAGTTAGGAACTCAAAAAGAAACAAAAAATCTGTGTATTTTGGTCCTCCAAAAATATATGTCCTTAGATTTAACATCCATTTATAGATACATCAAATTCAATGTCAACTTATTCATCACATTGGTTCTTGAAGTGACATCAAATTGGTCCCTAGAAGAACAAAACGAATAGGAATGGGACCCCTCCATCTTAGATTTTCACATGACTCTCTCTCTCTCTCTCTCTCTCTCTCTCTATCTATCTATCTATCTATGATCTATCTCTCTCTTCATCAACGTTAAATAATATATATCTATGAAAAGGGTGATAGACACTCACATGACGAAAGACCAATTTAAATGTTTCTGATAACAGATGACCAATGTGATGATACATACATCTTTTGAGAAAAAATCGGACACTTATTAAAAATAAATAAATAAATCAACCAAAATGACATAGTTTTCAGTTAAAACTTTGCAATTAATTTGTTTCCACACTTCAAAGTTTTCTTAAACTTACGGTATTTTATGTTTATTAGTTACAATGGCACCCTATACTCTACATCACCGTATATGTCGATTATGAGTAAGGTAATTTTGTGCTTCCCCTATTCTTTTGAATGCAGGATTTCAAACACTAGAGGAGCTATATTGTAAGACATGGTTGCACAGGTGACTTGATTTTCAAAAACTCTAGTATGTAATTTATACATATTTGGCAAGGATTCATTTTTTTTGGGGAGGGGGGGTCTTGAATTATAAGACACATTGACATGCATTCTGAATGAACAAAGAATGTGAACCTATGGCATGGGTAAAGTTGAAGGACAAATGAGGGTTCATGATTGTAATTGTAAACTTGAAGTATACAAACAAGAGTAATGCTAGGAACACACTCTCTAACATAAGGTGATTGAATTTCCTCATACAAACAACAAGGTGATTGAATTTCCTCTTACTTTGCCTACCTAAAATCAGGAATCCTTGTTACAGTGGAGACTATTTTTCCCTTATTTTTTGGTGACTAATGTATCATTCAGTGAATAAATTTCAATCTTGTGTGGCGCCATAATATGTTGTAAGTCATTATCATTAATATTTTGACATAGAAGAGCGCCCTTGACTCCATCACATCCTAGCTTTAAATAAAGGTTCTGTTTATTCTTTGTCCGAGAGAACTGATTTCTACATGATTAAACTAAGCGGGACCTCTTCCATTCTGGCTACTTCCTGCTTTTTTTCATTTTTGGGCCTCCAACTCGCATTTGCCACCTGTCCCTGTAAAAAAAGGACCAAAATATGTGTGTTTGTCCTCTTTATCATCCTTTTATTCTTATCCTTTTTCACTTTGAAAGCTAAATCACCAAAACTGGCAAATCGTTTACCTCCTTTTACCCTTAATAATCGATAATTTGATTCATGAAGGAGTCGATTCTGAATTCCAAACATGTTTTCATAATACTAATAACTGAACTTAAATTCATTGGTTTTAATTAGCAGTTTAACTGAAGTTTGAAACATAATGTTCCATTCATCATCCTTTTATATGGACTAAACAAATCCTGTTTATGCATGTATGTGGAATGGTTTATTTGTACAGTCATTAATATATTCAAATGTCATGCAGTGGACAGAGAGTTATTGTACAGGAAAAGAATGATGACAAAATGATTGAACATGTGGTTACTATTCAGGTTTGGCAGATGAAAACTATTTCTCCTGACTTACTGTAAATTTGGATAGAGAACTGATAAAGTTTACACTAAATTTAAAATTTATAGTATGACTGAATAGGCAATAAAATGCTATTGATTATCGGTGATGAGGTTATTAGTTTTCAAAACTGAAGTTGTTACATCAAGTGAAAGAAAAAGTAAAATGTGTGTCAATCATTTCCAATTTGATGGTTTAACTTAAGTTGTCTTTATTGCTGAAATTTTTATTTTTTTTGTTATTAAAATGTGTAGGGTTTGACATCCTCTGGATATTTGTTGGCTGTCGGTGATGATAATCAAATGTGTGAGCTCCACCCTGATGGTAATAGGTAATGGAACAAGATATCTTTTCTTCTAACTGCATGATTAAGTTGTGACAAAATACTTGTAAAAACAATCAACTTTAGTTTGAACTTTTGAAATTTGAAGCACGCATGTAGTCATCAGAAACAGTCAACAATCTCATCTGCTACATTTATAAACGAAATAAACATTTCAAATTATGTTATTGCGTGACATGATGATTATAATAAACTGAAATTCAAAATAATTTTCTACTGTGTGACAGCTTTGACTTTTTCAAAGGACTGGTCCGAAGGAAACTGGACTGAAGCAGATTCCTTTACCCTTGTTGGATCCAAGTTGGAATGGCCATTTATCCACACTTATTTCAATGCTATTAGTTTAAATTTTTTCATTAAATTCACGTTTAGAGATTTTTTTAATGTGTTTCTAAACACAAACTAACTTTTAACAAACTTTGTATATATTTTCAAGGTTTTGACTTCAAAGCTAAATTTTATCCAATAAATCAAATATGTTTAATATATTTTGACATTAGAAAATTTGAGCTTTTGTATGCCATTTATGCATTTCCGTCAAACTAATAATGGTCTTTCCTTGTCTGGTCAAGCAAGATCCTCTGCATTATGGCATGTAAAAAACATCATGCTGCTGCGTCCAAAATAAATGTTTTTTTTCCTCTGGATAGGACCTAGTTCATGATTGCTATATTCAATCATTTGTAAGGAATATGGTGGTCCTTCCTGGCCAGCTATGAAATGATTTGAAAAAAACGTTACTATGATTCATTGTTGTGTTCAATAATCATCTTTGGTTCCAAATAAAGTGTGCTCGAATTAGATGCTTAATCAGATTGTGTTGACTGTCTGTCATCCATCTACCACTTCATCATGACCGAGGTGTCATATATATTCTGCGAGTTCGAGGGCCTGTCGCTTTTTTGAAATTGGACTTATCCTCCATTATGACAAATCTGATTTCGTCATAAACATGCACTGCTTTTTTGCCATGTGGCTTTAAATAGTACTAATTCTTACCCATGTTGACACATCTTTCTCAGTATCAAATAACAAGATATTAGTTGCACTTATTTATACTCTACGTTTTACTTTGTTTTTCCCATAATTAGCTGAGAATTTGCATTTATTCCACAGACGGTGGTTTTGTGCTAGTTAGTGATCAACACTTATTCAGCATTTTCTTAAGTTTGTCAAAAAAAGAATTAGGTGTTGTTTATTAATTAAAATTAGAGCATTATCTTAATGATATATGATTTGTCTTTTGTCAAAATAGATTACGTGACTCGATTGAGATTTTGAGTTTTATTGGGTTGGGTTAAAACGTCCACATTTTATTCTAATCACAAAAAATAAAATTTTAAATTTAAATCAAACTCCCATTTTTAAAAAAGAAAAGAAATTTGAAAAGAAAAACATTCAAATTTGCATTTAAATTTAAATAGATCAGTATTGTTCAAATCTAATCAAAGAAAAATTTGGATAGACCAAGTTAAAAAAATTTGAAATCGATACAGATCAAAAATTTTAAAAATATAAATAGTATATATTAAGCTATCCTAGTTTTTTGTTAAAAGTTCACACATAAAATGTTTATAACACTTTACTATCAAGAATGCTAAATAAAGAGAGTATTACAACAATGGACGATATGTACGCAAAAAACTAAGCATCCATACCAGTATCTAGATTAATTTAGCATTCTTAAAACTTCAAAATTCGACACAGTAAGCATAATCTCTCTTGCCATTGAAAAAAGGCTTTCTTCTTTTTTATTTTATCTATTTCAAGATTAGCAAAAGTCTAAAAAGAAAGATAGACCACATGTCAAATTGGCCACTAAAGAATCAGCATGAATGGATGAAGATTTTATCTTTCTTTTTTTCTTCTTCTAAATTAGCACAATTAGGCTATCACAGTTGGATCAATTCATTTTGTGAATTATAATTAATGTTTGGAGAGGAAGGGACTCGTTTGAAGGAAAACCTTAGAAGTGGCATGTTGAATGGTAGAGGGGTACTTGTTGCTATTTCTCTTTCAGGATCCGTGGCATTATATGCTTGTATTTCTGTAGCAGAACGAAAGACACCACACCACCCACAACACATGGACAGCTATCTTTACATTCAAAAAATGCCTTAGTTGTATGAGAGTTAAGGCCATAAAGGCATGAAGCATGTCCATGCAACACCCAATGTCTACATCATAATGTGTAATCATTGGTGGTTGAGTCATTCTCAATGGGCAGTTTTCATCTCTTCGGTCATTGGTGAAAGGCTAGTGAGAGCTTCTAGCCTTTTATTTGTTCTCTTTTTGAAAACTGGATATGCCAACACACCCAATTAGCAGCAAAGCTGAATTCTTCCGCTAAATGTGATTTATTTATTTAACATTTAATTAGGTGAATGGGTGTTGGTCTCTAGAGAAGACAATGCCCTTGTGACATGCTATTGCTGGCATCTATTGCATGTCACCATGTCTCGAGCCCCATAGAATTCTTTTAATCATCACCAATTAAGGAAAATAGTTGGTAATTTGGTATACGTCACGATCAAACATCCATCTGAAATATTGATCATGTTTATACCAAAAATTATTAGTATTTAATAATTGGAATGTCCTAAATTAATCTAGCTGTCCACAGAATAAGGTTCTTGGCGCAATTCCAAAGGTTCGGAATTGAGACAGAACCGTATTTTAGTTTGTTACTAGAGGCTTCTAACTGTACAAAAGAATATGTATACAGTAAATCTTCAGTATGTGGACAAAAGAAAACTTACGTGAAAATACTCAAAATAGTGAAGATGGTGTTGTGCTTTCCAGGTTGGTCTTATTTTCGAATAATTAGTCTATAAACACACCTAAGATGTTGAATGTGGATGATGTCTTCGACAATCATTATATGAATAAAAAAGGGTTAAACAGTTGTCAAAGTGAAAAAATCACAATTGAAAATTGCCTACCTACTGTTTTTCAATTACCTGTGTAACATAATGATATATTTATCTAAGTTTTTTTTTTTTTTAATCTCTTCTTCACAACTTTCGTATAGATAGATATAGTTAATAACTAAATTTCACTTAAAAATTTGAACGAGTTATTTATTCTGTTTTTCTTTTATTTATCTATCCACTCCTAAAACAAAATCTCGTTTCTATGTATGCATCCACTTAAAGATCAATACAATATTATAATTGTTTATTACCTTATTTTAATTTAATATTAAAATACTTTACATACTTATTATTAATGAGAGAATAGTAATAGAAGAGATTATATTAAGAAGTTAAGAATAATCTTGATATAAATAAAGATATTAATTACACCTTTTCAACATGTACACTTTATTCTCCTAAACAGGAAGATAAAAAGAGAACGAGTAACTGTATACAAATTTTCACAAGTTTGTGCAAATAATATTCTTCAACATTATGGAATAATAGAAAGCATGAATTTCACCCGGTACGTACAACTACTTAAATTTCTAGCTTGCAATTGATGATTGTGAGTGACGACAAATGATGAATGAAATAAAGTAAAAGGGTTAAGAAGCATCTGACTCGAAGACAAACAACAGGGATGGGATATTGGTTGAGATCATAGACAGGGCCTGCAGTGTGTATGTAAATTCGTGAATCATAATTACATATGATTAATGGAAAAAGAAACGAAAAGAAGATTAGTCAAAGATCCTTTGGATGATCACATGGGGAAGCAGGCTTGGTGGGCCAAACTAGTTGTGACTAACAGAGAGAAAAAGTTGATGGTAAGAAGTTGGAGGCCGAATAAGACACTGCTCATCACCAAGCTTAATTATATACATACATATAAAATATGTTATTTTAATTCCCATTCAAGCTTTAGCTTTATTTATATATTAAGCATGGTTTCGATACATGACTAATGTAATTTTCCTAATATATTCCACATCATGTACAATGGAAGCCAATGATAATCTTGCTATTATCGAAGTAGATATGATTAACTGAATCATTAAAGTGAAATAATCAGAATCGGATAAGCCAGGGCCAAAATAATAGTAGTAGCTAAAAAAGGTACAATATATTTAATTTCTACGCATGAAATGTGGAAATGGGTGTTTCGTCAACTACTTTATTTTTAACTTTATTTCTTCTTTAGTATAGGCGCGTTGCGTTTGGCATAGACATGCTCCCAAGTAAGCAACGACCGAGGGAAGAGCTTTAAAAAGAAGGGTAGTGGAAAACTTGTTGGGCATATGGAATTTGAAGATTGGGGCAAAGTGATTATTATGAACGTTACTAATGAAAAGCTGGTTGTGGGTCCTTTGTGTGATAAAAGAATTGAAATGTGCAGTTATATTTGGAAGATGGACGGTGACAGGCTTTTGCTCTTTGCACCATTTTGGACCATTCGGTCACATGAAACTATTGTTTCTGGGCACTAGCGGGGCTTCTTGTGAGGCAATATTGGAAGAAGACAGAAAGCCACTCTGTATAATATCGTGCCTTCTTTTTTACCTGTGATTTTATTTGCTTCATATTCTTCATCATTTTGGTATTGCATCAGATATATGGTATCTATCTATGTTTGGTCATCACCATTATATGTCATCCTATCTTCAAAATTTTATTATATGTTTCACATTTTTTATTATGGTATTATGTTGTCCGTTAATTATGTTACTATTTTATTATATATGGAAATTAATTTATGTCAATATGAATTATATTTGTTGTTTGATGAAGTATCAAATACTTTTAAAATTATATAAAATTTTATTATCTTAATTGAATTCTTAGTTTAATGTTTAAAAAAGTTATTAGATAGAATAAATTATTCAATTTTATTTTCGGACTAAGTGGATTCCTTTTTATATAAATGCAAATACATAGAGGAGACGTGTCTAAGAAATATTGTCATTTTTATAGCACTTATTACGTGACCTTCTTAAAATATTTTATATACTTATTAGAATGATATATTTCTTCTTTTGAAAATCACTTTTATCAATTTTGAAATTGCACCATGCTTTAGTTTTTATTTGAATCTCACGAAGATAAACGTTTGGATGAAGATGCATTTAATAAATTGTCTTGATCTTAAGTTTTAGTGTTTAATTTGTGGACATTCTAAAATTGAATTTTTTTTATTTACTTTTAAAATCAAAGGTATTAAAAGAAATATTAACAAAAGAAACTAATTAATATACTATATTAAAAGTATTAAATAACATCAAAAGATTATTTTTAAAAAAGTGTATTACTTATAGAACATTATTGAAAAATTTTATAATTATACTACAATTGAAAAAAGTTATTCAAAATGAAAATTATTTAACTTTTTATTTAAATTTAATTATATTATAAAGCATTTAATTATATCATTTATTAAGAGAAAAATGAAAAAAATACATAATTTAATCAATAATTTTACAACTTAAAACTAAAAAAAGTAACATGAAGATTAACAAGTTATATTAAAAGAGAGCTCAAACATAAATTTTATCTGAGATCGTACATT